TTCTCTGCTCCATCTTTGCAGCCCACAGCTTTACTGGAGCTTCCCTTCTGGCCAAACTCAAAACGTTTTAAATCATTCTGCTGGGCTCTTTGCTCATCTCAACATAGATCTGGCTAAAAGCCTCCAACAGCAGCCATGCCATGGCCTCAACATTAGACTGCCTTGAAATTTCTTCTGCAAAATTAATTAGCCCGCCACCCTTAATCTCAGTCTCAGGCAGTCTCTGGACAAGAGCAAAATGCAGACAAACTCTCTGCCAAGCCATAACACATCATCTGGAGTGTGCAGCCAATGCAGTCCTTCTTCCCAGCAGAAACCTCCTAAACTTTGTCTTTACTGGCTTTCTGGTCTTCTGAGCTCTGACCAGAATTGCCCATGGAAAACAGCAAGCTTCTCTAGAACGGTTCTACTTCAGCCATCGTCTCTGAATCTTTCCTAATTCTTCCCCTTCCCGCAAGCCAGTTTCAAAGGCTCTTGAGCCACATGGCCGGTTAATGCCCCTTCTCTGGTACCAAATTTCTGTGTTAGTTACTTTTCTCTCACTGGTGAGACAAAATACCCAACACCCAAAGTTAAAGGGGAAGTGGTTTATTTAGCTCACAGTTGGTCGAGTTTTCAGTCCATAACCAGCTGGCTCCAAGGCAGGGTGGCACATGGCAGAGAAACACTTTATAGGGCCCATACGGTAGCAAAGGCAACCAGTCACAAACCATTTTGATACACTGGGCAGGAGCCCAGCAGCACAAACTTACATTTCCAAAACAAAACATTCTGTGGAAAAAAAAAATAGAGGCAAGACTAGGGGCTGTCTTATTGTACAGCACTTCTTGACTACCTAGAAAGGGTAATGGTGAGGGCTAACAAAAGACAATAGAGTTTTGCATAACTTTATAGTACATGGGGGCCTGGGAAGTCAATGCATCAGACAAAGACTCTCCAAGTGAGTCACTATTATTGGGTTCATACAATAATTGGAGGGAAGGGCCAGGGATTTAGCTCAGTGGTTCCACCGCCTGCCTCACAAGCAAAAGGTCCCGAGTTAGATTCCCAGTACCCCACCCCACGCCCGCAAAAAAAATCGGGGGGAGTATCAGATGACTCAGAGGGTGGTGGTAATCCCACGATGATGAGGATCTTATGCTGATGAGGATGGCCAGATGAGCAAAACATTCTTACAACAGTAGGTGGGACTAGTTAAACTGATAGAAATTTGTCCCTCCCCAGGTGAAACCTTTCTCTCTTTTTAAATTACTACTCAATTCTCAAAGAACCAGCATGTCTTCAGCTGATATACTCTTGTCCTTGAGAGTCACAGCATCATAGGACCATTGAAGCCTCAGTTGTGACAAGAGGCAAAGCAGAGTTATGTTTCTGCATCCCATAGCTGGCTCCCAGGCAAGAAGACTAGGCCTCAGATAGCCCTAATCATTAATTATGATATGATTTCCCCCCCAAATTATGTAGAATGGCTCCCAACACATTTTGGCTATGTCCAGAGACTTTACCTGAGCTGAGATTAAGGGTGGCAGACTAATTAATCTTGCAGAAGAAATTTCAAGGCAGTCTAATTTTTTTTTTTTTTTGGTACAGGGGATCGAACTCGGGTCCTTGCACTTGTAAGGCAGGCACTGGAACCACTAAGCTAAATCCCTGGCCCTAAGGCAGTCTAATGTTGAGGCCATGGTATGGCTGCTATTGGGGGCTTTTAGCCAGATCTATGTTGAGAATCAAGAGTAAAGGGCCCAGGACAACAATTTAAAACATTGTTGGTTTGGCCAGAAAGGAAGTACTAGTAAAGCTGTGGACTGAAAAGATAGAGGAGAGGAAATCTTGATTACTGTGAAGGAACAGGAGAATAGAAAAGGTGGCCTGAAGGCATCACAAGAAGCAGCAGGACTCCAGCCTTTGCAGCCTCAAAATTGCAAAAGACTTTTAATTTGTAAAGACAGCCCCAGAGCACCATGTTCCAGAAATGGCAGTGGCCTAGGGAAATTGTTTCGCAGGACTTGGTTCATAGGCACTCGACCCCTACAGCTAAGAGAGAAAGCCTGGCTATGGCTCCAGCTTGTGGCAGACCCTGGTGGCATCCACGTGGTGCTAGTTTTAGGTGCCTACACAATGCAAGAGTCGTGGGGTCAGGAAGGCTTCCACCCAGATTTCAGAAGAAGGCCTGGGAGGCAGGCAGCGTGCCTGAGAGGGCGGAGTGTGAAGCCGTGAGGGTGAAGCTGAAGGTGCAGTGGAGACCCCAGAAGACTGGCGAAGCCAGGAGTGTGATTGTCTGAGGAAAACTGCAAGGAAGGAGCAGAGCTGGCCCCAGAGAGAAGCCATCGGAGCTCCAACAACCAGCAGGGCTTTGGGGCAGAGCTACTCAAGCGCTTTGGAGTTCACAATTTGCCACAGATTGCCGGGGATGCAGGACGTGGAACTGTGGGACTTCATGTTTGCCCTGCTGGGTTTTGGACTCATTCTGGTCCCATTCCTTTGTGTTCCCCTATCTGTACGTTGTGGAGTGGTAAAGTCTATCTTGTGCCATTGAATGTCGGAAGCGTTTAACCCTCATGTGTACAGGGCTCCCAGCTAAGAGTTGCCTTAATCTCAGAGGAGACCTGGGACCTGGACTTTTCAGCAACTCTGAAACTTCATGGACTTTGGCAACTCTTAGAGACGGACTCAATGCCTTTTGCATGAAGGGTAGGAGCCAGCCTACAAGCTTGTCCTGAATGGGAGCGAATGAGGATTAAAGACACAAGACACAAAGATAATTTGAAAAAGGGGTCAGGGGGCTCCTGCCTCCAGTGGACAAAGGGCCTGGAACTGGGAGTGCTCCTCACTTTTATTAGGCTCACACAGAGAAGCAAACAACCGTGTGACCCAGGGCTGAGGAAAGTTCAGCAGGTTCTCCTCATTGGGGGACTGCACCCTAATGTGCATTTTCTTTCCTCAGACTTCAGCTGCAGTTGACTTTCTCCCTGGAACTGGCTGGCACCAGCGTGCTGGCCCACAGCGTGCCATCTCCTCTCGTGTCCGAAGGAGAGGTCACCCAGGCCTCCGTCTTTACACTTAGTTTTCCAAAGCAATGGATGTACTTGAGTCTTTGGGAGGCCAGGGGTAGAAGGTTATGGCTTGTGTCCAGACGTCCCCCCAAAGCCACATGTGGTCACAAGTGGGACTTTTCAGAGGTGGCTGGATCTAGAGCTTGTGAGTCATGCTGCAGTGCTAGGATTAAGGGTGTGAGTGCTATTCACCCTAAGGGCAGGTAGTCTGGGTCCAACAGAAGGAACAGAAAGAGGCTTGCAGCTAGTTGCTTATAGTTTGTTGCTTGCTTCTGCTGTCTTTTGCCCGCCATGAAGTCTTTCTCTGTGATGCCCCTGTGCCATGCCACTCTGCCTTGGAGCCAGCTGATTATGGACTGAAACCTCTACACACTGTGAGCTAAATAAACCTTTCCTCCTTTAACTTTGGGTGTTGCGTATTTTGTCTCAGCAATGAAGAAAAGTAAGATAGTAGTTTAGACTGGCTTTGAACTCACTATATAACCCATGCTGGCCTTGAACTCATAGCAATCCTCCTGCCTCAGCCTCCCTGGTGCTGGAATTACAGGCATGTGCTACCACCCAGCCTCATTAACAACTTTATTTTTTTGGTACCAGGGATGGAATTCATGACCTTGCACTTGTGAGGCAGGCATGGTGTCACTGAGCTAAATCCCCAGCCCTAACTTTTAAAATCAGACTATTTCTGATTCCTAGAATGAACCCTGTACCATCATTCCATAAACACATGTGTGTATTCACACACACACACACCCCGCTGGATTATTTTATTTAGGACTTTCAGTCTTAGAAGTACGGTTGGCCCCTTACTCATGATGTGTGGGGTGGTTTATGTGAGTAAACAAATAAACAATTCCCTTAACTATTGCCAGAAGACTTCTGAAAAACCATCTGGGTGCTGCATGTTTGCACATTTCTAACTTCTTGTTTAAATCTTTAGAATTTATATGTCTGTTCAGCTTTTCTCTCTCCTTCTTCCTTCCTTCCTCCCTTCCTCCGTCCCTCCCTCTGTCCGCCTTTCCTACCCTCCTTTCTTCATTTCTTTCTCCAGACAGGGTCTCACCATGTACCCAGTCTGGCCCCAAACTCCCATGATTCCCCTGTCCCTGGATGCTGGCATGAAGCTGTGCTCACCGCGCCTGGCTTGTTTTTCTATTTCTTTCTGAATCGGCATTCGTTGTCTGTCATCTAATTTCCTCACCTTTTCAGGACCAAGGCCTCATTCTTTGTCCTTGGATGGCTGATAACCCCCAGCCATTAGTTATTAATTAGCAGAGATCCCTTCACAGCCAGCTCATCCTTGGTTTTCAGTTTTCTCTTTTTCTAGCACCTGGGGTTTTACTTTTCTTTTGAGTTGCAAGCATGCATTTAATTTTTTATTTTATCCAGTATTCTCAGCTGATAGGGGGAAGAGAGCTTTAGCATTTTTGTTTGTTACTGGTGATCTGAATCCAGGGCCTCGGGTGTGCCAGGCAAGCATTTTATCACTGAGCTACATTTCCAGTTTAAAAAAAAATTTTTTTTGTTTGCTTTCAGACAAAGTCTGACTAAGTTGCCCAGGTCTGGCCTCAAACTTGAAACCCTCCTGCCTCTTGAATAGCTGAGATTACTACCACATCTGGCTAGATTTAAACATTCTTCTGTTCTACTTGATTCTGAAGTTTTTCCCCAATCTACAGACAAAATAGCTGAACTTCAGAGTGGTTTAACACTCTGCCAGGGGTCCCAGCACTACTACATTTAATTCAGTTATTGGGCTATTTTTGTTTGTTTGTTTTTGAGATAGGGTCTTGCTATTGTAGTTCAGGCTGGTTTTGAACTCACTATGTGGCCCAGACTGGCCTGGAACTAGAGGTGATCCTCCTGCCTCAGCCTCCCAAGTGCTGGGATTACAGCCGTGCGCCACCACACCTGGCTTAATTTAGTTATTGAATCCAAAATTTCTGATTCTGAATCCGGTGCTCAGGTCTTTTATTCCATGCTGCTTTTTGAGGCCAGTGAAGCAGAACCAGAAAGGTGCACCGAGATGTGGCAGGAGGTGAGGGTTTCACAGGTGGGATGGAGAAGGCCAGGATGATGCTGGGAAGTCGGAAGGAGTAAGGGTGTCCTGGGCGCCCTGAGCAGCAGCTCCCCAGGAGAATGGTGGCTCCACCCACCCGTTCTGAAGTCCTGCAGGACGAAGCCCCGGCCCCTGAGCCCGGCGCGCGGGCGTCGGTTCTGCCTGTGTCTGCTGGCCCAGGGCTGGGTCCCGGGACGGAGACGGCCCATCTGGGTCGCAGTCCCCGCCCCAGGGAGCTCATGCTGTGGGAAGCAGACCTCGGTCTCCTAGAAATCCGCGACTGCCCAGTGCCCCTGTCTCCCGGGAAAGCGCTTCCCGCTTCCCGGTGCGAGAGCTCTGAGCCCGGAAGGAAGGGCGGGGAGCTTCCCCGAGGATGCAGCAAGGCCTGGAGCGGAGTTAGGAGAGGCGCAGAGCCAGGAGGCTTGCGGGCTGTGGTCCAGCCGCTCCACAGGTTCTTGCAGGAGAAACTGCGGTGTAGACAGGAACTGGAGGGTGCAGGAGCGGGTGGAGGGCAGCGTGGTTGAAAGGGTGGAGCCAGGCTTCACAGGTCCTGAGAGCCCAGTAAGGGCTGGAGTCTGTAACCGAAGATCAGTGGAAAACCTTTGAATGGGTTTAAACTGGGTGACTGAAACTATCAGATTTGCATTTTAAAAAGATTCATCTGAAACGGAGTGTGGTGGCACACGCCTGTGATCTTGGCACTGTGGGAAGCCGAGGCAGGAGAGCTGCAAATTGGAGATCAGCCCGGGCAATTTAGCAAGTTAGTGAGACCCTGTCTCAAAATGAAAACTAAAGGTGGGGCCGCCATTTAGCTCAGGGGTTCCACTGCCTGCTCTCGCAAGTGCAAGGTCCCGAGTTCGACCCCGGGTACCAAAATAAAAATAAAAATGAAGGGCTGGGAATGTGGCTAAGTGCAAAGGCGCTGGGTTCAACTTCTAGTATTGAAAACACAACAAACCCTTTCTTACTTGGGCAGCATACGTTGGAGAAGGCCAATCCAGGCGCTTCACCTGTCGCCCGTGATGGGGGGAGGGGGGGGGAGAGCCGAGTGTTCCCAGGGGTGGCTGTGCGGAGGAGGTGGAGGGACAGAGCAGACAGACTTGAGAGACGATTACGCCGCCGATAAGCACAGGAGTAGATGCTAAGTTCATGTGGAGTTGCTAGCGCAGAACTGCCGAAATCCACGCCTCTGCAGACCTGGCCACTTCATGGGCCATCTCCCAAGTGATCCTTTTACTCAAGGGTATTTAGCTGCTTCTTGCATGTATCAGTTATCAACCTGATACATCATAGTGGAAATGTTGCCAAGTTCCAAAAAGTATACCCAGTTAATACAAGCACCAGGTCTCACTTAGCCTGTACCATCAACAGGAGCCATGCAGCTGCTGCACAGTCCCCCACGCCAGTAACTTCCCTGAAGGAACTCCGAGGTGAGGGAAGACAGCTCCCTGTCAGGCCCAGAATGGGCTGCCCGGGGCACAGTGGGGGGCAGCTGGCTGGTCTGTTTACAACCAGTTTCCCAGAGCAGGGGACGTGAGGCAGTTGTTTGGAGCTCGGTACCTTGGCGGCGCTGGGGAAAAAGATGCAACTGGAAGAGGAAACAAGTGGGCCCTCTGTGGATGCTTCATGATAAGCTTTTCTAGGATGTTCCTTGTATTTTACGTCGCAAAGCCCAGTTCTCCTTTCCCCGAGTCCTCTCCGGCCTCCCTCGGCTCCCTCCTCTGGTCTCCATCTCTGCCTCCAGGTCCCTGCCTTTTGCTGGGCCACAGTGGGCGAGAAGCTGGGGTCTGTCCTGTCCTCTCCTCCATCTCCGTGGCTCCTGGCCGGGGTGGGGGGTGACTGGACCAAGAGGAGAGCCCCATGGGGAGCTGGAAGCGGAGTCAGAGGTGGGAGGCCCCAACCTGGGCCTATGAAGAAGAGCTCGGAGGCGCCGGTGACCCTTGCCTTCTCCCTGGAGTTGGTGGGGGACCTGTGGGAAGTTTCCCAGGGAACCGAGGGTGGCTGGGCAAGGACAGGGCTGCCTCAGGCCTCTCCCGGCGGCCAGCGCTCCTGGAGGGCCCTGTCCTCAGGCTCCGCCTCCCCCTTCTCACTCTGGGGTCTGCTGCGGCTGCGGACTGAGAAGCCCGAGGGAGGTAAAATGGAGGAGACGGGAGGGAAGGGAAAGAAAACAGAGGCTCCCCCACACCTCCCCTCCGGCACCTCCTCCTCGAGGCCCCTCCGGCTCCACAGGGTGAAGACCCCCCAGGGCCTTGCCGGCGGTGTGGCTCGGGAGAAGCGCTCAAGGTCCTGGGTTCTGTCCCCAGCACCATAAAAATCAACCCACAAGCCCGCCAAGCAAACCAGCCAGCCTTTCTCAGAGCGACCGCGGACGCAGCGGTCCTCGGGCGTGACGCGCGTGCCCATCAGCAGTCAGACCCACACGAGGCGTGAGCTGTTGCAGTCCCGAGACCTCACAACCTTCCTCGCAGGAGATCTGGGGTGGCCCCAGAATGCGCCCCCCCCCCGGCACTGGGAATTGAACCCAGGGCCTTTGGCCTGAGCTGCATGTGGGCTCCAACTTGCGATTCTCTTGCCGCAGCCTCCCAGAGTGCCGGGGATGCAGGCTGTGCGCAGCCCTGGCTCGGCTCGGAAGGTGCGTTTCCAGCAAGTTCCCGGCAGGAGCTGATGCTGCGGCCTGGCATCCCCGCGGGGTGCAGTGAGGTCAGGAACGTTACTGTGCTTGTATTAAATCCCCACACCAACCCCTTATTTTCCCGTTTCACGGCTGAGGACACGGAAGCGAGATCTGGTGGTGTAGGGCAGGGCGAAGATCTGAACCCGGGCCCCTCGGACCCCAAGATGACCTCCTCCGTCCTCTGTCCCGCGCGCTGGGCCGGCTCCGTCCTCGGAAACAGCGCCGTCCGCTTCTTACTTCGCGTGCGTCGCCTGGCCCGCGCGCAGGCTCGGCTGGGAGGGACTGGAGGGCAGGGCGGAACGGAACCGGAGCCTTGCGCCCCGGACTCAGTTGCCCCTTCTCCCCGCACTGGCGAGAGGGCGTCGGGCAGGGGCAGTGGCTTCTCCTCGGGGTGCAGGGGAGCCTGCGCAGGGCCGTGCTCGGGAGGTCACCCCAACAGCCGGGTCTGCGAGTGGTCGGTCACGTGGGCGGGGGGGCGGCGCCCGCAGAAACGGGCGGGAGTGCAGCGCGAGACTGAGAGGCGGGCGGTGTGGGGGCCTCCAGCAGCCCGGGTCATGCTGCTCCCTCGGGTCTCCCCAGGCTGCGCCCCTCGGATCCTCTGCCCCTTAGCTCGGGGATGAGGTCCACCTGCCTGCTCCCCCACGTCCTGGGCGCCGCGCCCTGGATGCTCGGGATCCAGGGGCGGGTGGAGGGGCTCCTGCCCGGGAGTGGCTGTCGGCTACTTCTGCGGCCCGGGCTCGGGGTTCGCGCCAGCACTGGGCCTGCGGGACTCACCGGCTTGGAGGATGCCCGCCTGCGCCTGCGGGCACCAGGGACCCTTTGAGGGGCGCAGCCGAGTGACCCCAGGGCGGCTGCCTGTCTCCGGAGTTGAGAGACCGAGCTGTTTCACCTGCGCCGCGCGCTGCTGGGCTGACGCACGGGACCGGGTGAGGGCAGGATTTGGGGCATCCAGGGCAGCGGAAACAGGAAGTGAGGGGCACAGGGGCTGGGTGGAGGGCGCGGCTGTGCCTCCTGCGTGTCTAGGGCGATCGGTCTTCCTGGCTCCAGCCCTGTGCGCGGAACTCGAGGCCCAGGCCGCAGCAGCGGATCACCCTGCCGCCCCCACCCGGCTCCTTTGCCTCGGCACAGCGCGGCCCCGACCGCGAGTCCTCCCGCCCTGGCCGCGCGCTCCTGTAACCGCGGCCCCCAGTCCTGCCCGCCCTTCTTCGGGACGGGATGCAGTCCGGGTGCCAGGATTTCGAGTTGGGGCGTTTCTTGATCCCCACCTGCTTTTTTTTGGTCCCGGGGATCGAACTCAGGACCTTGTGTGTGCGAAGCAGGCGCAGCGTCACTGTCCCCAGCGGCATGCCTCTTTTCTTTCCACTCACAGAAACCAGCTTCTCGTGGTGACAAGGAATTATCTCCCTGCAAACATCACCATTCGGCCCAGTCTACCAAGAGCTTGCACTCTGCACTCATTTCCCGCCTTCCTCTGTGGCCTGGGATCTGATTCCAGCCTGGGCAACTCAGCTTTTAGGGGCGAGGTGGGCCCCTGCCTCGACACCTCTCCACTCTCCAGCCTCTCTTCCAGCTTCACGGATAATCCCCCTCTATTTTTGTACTTATTCTCTAACTTGGGGGAGTCAGGAAAACAGGATTTCCATGCCATGAACAGCCTTGGCCATTTCCTCCTCCCCATTTCCAAGGCTGACTCTACATGACTTCTAGGCTTCCCTCCCGATCCTTTTCTTGTACACCCCCGATAAACACACACAGAACTGCAGGGTTCAAAGAGGAAAAGAAGCGAGTTTGTTGTTGCTGGAAGGCATGAGGAGAGGCTTCTTCCCCTTCCTCATCACCTTGGCTAGGCGGTTGGGAGGCAATAGAAAAGGCGGTGGGTGGGGGCGCATGCCCCGCGCTGTACAATATAGAAGAATCTGATATAGACACTTTGTATAAAAGCCACTCGTCCTCAACTGTGTCCTCTTGCTGGCTGGGCTGGGGGCACCAGGAGATGAAGGAGCTGGGGTGGTGGGCTGGGGCACAGGGACACCCCACTGTCCCCGTCGTCAGGCTGTCCCCTGTGGGGTTACTTTGGATCCTTGGTGGGGGCGTAGCAGAGCTCGAGTGGCCGGGACACCTTCCAGAACTTCTCATTCACCAGCTCCAGGGTCAGCGAGCCATTCAGCGTCTAGGGAGGGATGGGAGCAACAGGGACAAAGTTGAAGATGGAAAAGGAAGTGGATGAGAGGGAAAAGGTGACCAAGAGAGGAGGAAAGCAGAGAGTAGAAAAGGGATGCGCGGAGCAGGAATGCACAGAGTGAGGGAGACAGGACAGAGGAGGTGGCAGCGAGCAGCGGAGAGGAGCAGCGAGCAAGGCTGCAGGGTGAGGGCCCGGTTGCTGGTCTCCGGTCCCCTGGCCTCCTGTCCCCTGGGTGCAGTGCAGGAGGCGCTCACCGTGAATGCTCCACCTCCGGGGGCGATGTAGATGGTGTACTGCTTCTCGCTGACGCCCTCCAGGCTGGGCAGAGCAGGCTCCTCCAGGCCGCCCCCGGCCTCCCCCCCGCCCACATCAGGCCCCCCAGTGTCAGAGGCCCCGCCAGGCCCTCCTGGCTCGCCCGCCTCTTGCTGTTGCCTCCGCTCAAGGGCGATGCGCAGGGCCAAGTACTTGGAGAGGTGGTCGACGGTGGCATTTCCAGTGGTCTTCACATACCTGGGGGGTGAGGAGACAGGAGGCCTCAAATGGGGACAGGGCAGGGGAGACTTTCCAGAAGGCTTCTGGGCTTGGTCGAAGCCCATTTCTTCGGACATCTGTGTGCTGTGCTTTCTCAGAGGTCCGGAAAGTGGGTTCTCACCTAGTCTGGCAGTATTCTCCCTTCTCCACGAGCAGGGGGTGGGGCCGGAACACCAGCTCAATTTCTCCGCCTGGCTCCGGGGGGCTGGGGGCCCCTGGGGGGCTTGGGGGGCCCAGGGTTCCCCCTCCCACAGTGCCTCCCCGGTCACCAGAGTCTTCAGAACCGGCGCCCCCACCCACCCCGCCAGTACCACCTCCCCCTGTCCCCACACTGCTGCCCCCTGCGCCCCCTCCACGGGGCCGCTTAGGAGCAGGGCCAGGGGCCGAGTCAGGGGCGGAGTCCGAGCTGACATCCTCTCCATCCCCCTCGCCCTCCCCGGCCTCTCCTTCTCCCCCACTCATCGTTGTGGTCTGATCTGACCCGGGCATCGGCCGCCTCACTCGCTGGGCCCTGTAGAAGCAAGGAGCTCTGGTTAGAAAGCACTGAGGACAAGCACTGGGGCTTGAAACGTCAAAGAATGAAGCAAGTGAGGAAATCTCAATGATGATCATGATGTGCCCAGCACCCTACATGTTGATCTCTGACATATGGCTGAGGAAACAGGCGTAGAGAAGTTGAGAAACTTGCTTGAGATCATGGATTCTCCCACTCAAAGTGTGCTCCAAGAGCCAGCTGATAGGCACCGCCTGAAGCTTACAGAATGCACACTCTCAGGCCCCACTCTAGACCTCCCGGATCAAGTCTGCATCTGGACACACATTACAGAGAGGCTCACTCTATTGTTCTAATGTCTACGGAGCTAAGAGAGCGAGCCAGTTTCTTCTTAAGAGGAACAGTGCCGCTTGTTTACCTAAGAAGCTGCAATTACCACCATGATCTCCAGGCCTAACCACCAGGCTGTGGGCAGCTCTTGGGAAGCTGAGGCTTAGAAGCGGCAGGCAGCAGAGACAGTTCCAGGAGTCTGACCCAGGGGCCTGCCCTGCCAGCCGGGCTGTGGCTCTCCTGACCCCCACACCTGTCCCACACCTGTGCATGGCCTGCATCCGCAGCCCCTCCTCGATGCTGGAGCTCAGTGCCTGCTGGTTGTGCAGGCGGCTGAGGCGGATGAGCACTCGGTCTTGGTGGGCCTCGTACTCCTCCCGGCTGGGATAGATCTTGGAGATCAGGGCATCGAAGTTGGGGTCTGGCCGGAGGGACCGCTTAGACACCAGTTTTTTCCGGCAGGTAGGGCACTCCTTGTTCCTAGGATAGGAGACAGACAGTCCGGTGCGGCCAGGTAGGATCAGCGAGGGGCCCCCCCTTCTCCCCACCTTAGATACGTCCCTCTGGTTACCCGCTGCGCAGAGCTGTGACAATGCAGTCAGAGCAGAAGCGGTGGAGGCACTCCTTGGTGGTCATCGTGTTCTTCAGCATGTCCAGGCAGATGGGGCACATGAGTTCTGAATGCAGCGATCGAGGGGAAACTGCTATCTCCGTACCATCCATGATGGCTTCCTGGAGCATCAAGGAGTGGAAAGGTGGTGGTGGGTCAAGGGAAAGGGAGTTAGAAACAAATGATTCACTGGAGAGGAGTTTTGAGAAATACTACAGTGAGACAGCAGAATGTGAGTACCCACACTGGCCCCTTGAGGAAGGGACTTCTGAGAGGGGCTACTGGCTCGGAGAAAATGAGGAACAGAAAGATTAGGGACCATTAACTAAGAGAAGGAGCTTTGAGACAGGAGGACCTGAGGTTTGGTGAGAGGCCTAGGGTGGGGTGTGGGGGCACAGATGTGTGGCCTGGAGAAGATGGAATTTCTTAGAAGTGTGGTCTTGGCAATAAGTAGATCTAAATCCACTAGAGTGCATTAGAAATGTAGGTTCTGAGGCTCCACTGCACTGACTCAGCACGGAGTGTGCATGTGTCTGTGCTCGTATGTGATGGGGATGTCATCAAGTCCCAAGTTGTCTTGTAAGCACTGACCTATGACACGGAACTGAGGGGCACAGAAGGTGATTTCGGCACCTGTTTGCTATCTTTCAAATGAAGATAGCAATATTAGGTCTACCTCTGTAACAGGGCTGCTCTGAGGATTAGATGGGATAAATGTAAAAGTGCTTCAAAAAGATTAAGGTGATTCCAAGGTAGGGCAAGGGAATCTGTGGAACTGGGCAGGGTGGGCAGAATAGGGCAAAGAATGGTCCGGGAGGAGGGAGGAAGCCGGCCGGGAGGACCCTCATCACCTGCGGGGTCCGGTGCAGCTCATACAGACTGAGTTCCCACGTTTTGCTGGCATTCTGGGCATTCGCCGGCGTCGTCATGGTGACCGGGCACAGACCCCCCACCGGGACTCCGCCGCCAGGGCGCAGGGAGGCTGGGGAGGGGGAAGGGGCGCGGGAGGCGGGTTAGGGGCCGCTCCTCGCGCAGACCCCGCCCGCCGGCCCTGCGCGCCCCCGCCCGCCCCCCTCACCCCGCTCAGGGGTCCGCGCTCCGCCGCCGCCGCGCTCCGCTCAGGCCGGGGCTCCGGGACGAGTCCGCGCGCTCCGCCGCCGCCGCCGCTCAGACAGCAGCTCCCGCCGCCGCCACCGCCGCCGCCATGGCTGGGCGCTCGGCCCTACGTCACTTCCGCTGTCCCTGCTCTCCACCCCCCGCCGGCCGGGACGTCGCCCGCCACTCGCGGGCGGGAGGGACGCGGCGTGGACCCTGGGCTTCCCCGCCTGCCGTCCCCGCCACGTGGGGGGACCTCTGTTCCCGCCCCGGAGTGTCGTGTGGCCGCCTCCGCCGCCGTCCCCTTCCCCGGGCCCCACCCCGGCCTCGCTCCGGAGGGCGGGGCCGGGGGTCGCCGGACTCGGGAGGGGACAGTTTCGGGAGAGGGGGCGCTCCCCCCCGGCGCCCCCCCCCGCACAACAACTTCGCACCCCCCAGTCTGGAGTCCCGGGAAAAGTCTTCAAAGATCCCCTGCTGCTCAGCCCTCAAGTCCTGAGAAGGCAGCCAGATCCCGAGTGCCCGCGATCCCCCTCGCCACCCGGGCCCCGCTGTGCCCCTCTGAGCCCTCCGACCCGCTCTCCCCTCGAGGTCTGGGGGCGGCGGCTCGGGACGTCCAGACTCAACTCTCGGCCGGAGCCAGAGACTCGAGAATTGCGTTTGGACAATCAGGAGCCGCGGCCCGGGCGGGGAGGGGGCGCGGAAGGACCAGGACCACGCGGAAGCGGGGACACGGGCGACGGGACCCCCCGCGGGGAAGGGGCGTGGGGGTGGGGACGCGGTGTCTGCTGTGGGAGTGGGAGTGGGCAGCAGCCCCTTCCAGGACTCTCAAGTAGAGGAAGAGGGCCCGCCGGCGAGAGAAGAGGAAGGAGCAGGGCCATCCCCGCTGAGGGCAGGGAGTGAGAGGGATACCGGGAAAAAGCGCCCTTGACGGGCGAGGTGGGGCTCTAGGACTTGGGCTGAGGCTGCCAGGGGGTGGCCTGTCTGTGGGACAAGTCAGCAGCGGGTCCCCTCGCCCCCCACCCCAGTTCCCCCCTACTTCCCTGTCCTCTCCTTCTGTCCGTGGCCAGTCCTTATGTGGGCGCCGGAGTCGATTAGCGCGGACCCCCTCCCCTTCTTCCTCCTCCTCCCAGCCCCCTCCCTTCTGCTCTCCTCCAGCCCCTTTCACGGCTGGTCCATTCCCCTAATCCTGGCCCCCTCCCCTAATCCCCCCGTCCGACCCCAGGCCGGCTGCAGCTATTGTAAGGTGGAGCGAGAGGGGAGGGGGACTGAGAGAAAGGAGAGGATGGGGGAGGGCCACCTGTTCCAACGCCCCCTTCCCAGGCCAGACTGGACACCAGCACGGGGCCAAGAACAAATCACCCTTGGGGGACCATCAGGACCCAGGCTTGGGGGGGAAGGGACTGGCCTTGGAGCCAGTGAAAGGGGGTGGGGCAGAACCCCCTCCCTCCAAAAAGACCCGGAGTGTCACGCAGACACAGTGACATACACTTTGCTCTCACACCCGGCGGCGGGGGTTGCCCTGGGAGACCAGGCAGTGAAAGGGAACAATCCTTAGGGAAAGGGAAAGAGGGGGAGGTGGGGAAGGGTCTGAGGGCCTGGACACAAGAAGAACCGGAGGTGGCAGGGAAGAGGATTTGGAATTTATTAGGGTCACAAGCACCCCTGCCCCCCATATTCAGCATTCTTGAGCCATACGCTGCCACCCCTTTTGTAGCCTGGGAACTTAGAGTCCTGGTCAGCAGGAGGCCAGGCAGAGTGGTGGGGGAGTGAGCAGAGTCCAGGGTCCTTGAGGCTGTTACATCCAAAGGCCTCCTGGGAGGGGCAGGAACATTGGGGCAGATGCATGGGTGGAGAGTGAAATGGGCCGGGGTGCCCACTTCTGTCCCGGCCTTGGGACCCTCCGCCCTTCCCAGTGGCTCCAGGCTCCCCTCGCTTGCTCTCCCATCTGGTCTGGGTTCCACTTCTCTGCCCTCTGCCTCCTCACATGGGCCTCATACCAGTGACTTCCACTGAGGCCCCCGTGATGTATCCACTGTCTTCAGATGCCAGGAAAGCAACCACATCTGCCACATCTACAGAAACGAGGGGCAGAATCCCACTCACGTCTGTGGTCCCTGAGCAGCCACCCAGGCTTGGTGCTACCCTCAGAGATACAGCACTTGGGATCTCCTCACTCAGCCCCTCTCAGGACCACCTGCCCACTCGGTGCTCACCCTCAGGGCTCCCCATGTGTCCCATCGGGATCATTCCGATCACCTGTAAGGAAACATTCACATGTGGGTTTTTTATCGATTTTTTTTTTTTGAAGAGTGTGCTTCTCTCCTTTTGTCTTTATCCTTCAGACATTTATCAACGTCTGCTTGCCATGCTCCATGCCCAGCTCAAGCCCAGAGAGGTTGGGTCTCCAACCTATTCTTCCTCTACCCACAGCCTCCTACCTTGTCCTTTACTGCCTGTGGAATTTTCTGAGTCATAGGTGTTGTCATGAACCCTGGGAGGACAGAGTTACAGCGGATCCCATGTCTGTGGAAGGGAGAGTGGCTGGTGACTCTGGGCAGAATGCTGACCCCTCCCTCAGGGCCCTACATGCCTCTGCGAGGTCCCCCCGAGTCCCTGGTGTCCGACCCACCGTCCAAGCTCCCGGGCTGCGGTCTGAGTCAGCCCAATCACACCAGCTTTGGATGCCACATAGTTTGTCTGCCCCATGTTCCCCACCTGCAGGAGGGAGATCTAGGGTGAGGGGACTCTCAAGAAGGGGCTGGTCTCTGTGCCCCGGGCTGACCTCACCCCCTTAGCTGACCTTGCCAACGATGCTACTGATGTTGATGATGGAGCCATGACTACCACTGGACACCAAGGCCTGGGCTGCAGCTTGAGTGACTAGGAAGGTGCCCTGGCCAGAGAGGGTGACAGGCTGGAGGGTCAGCCCGGTGACAGCCCTCCTCCAACTCCCGGCCCGGGCTGGGGCCGGGGACAGAAGTTACAGGCTCAGGGGTCACCACCTTGAGGTTGACAGCTATGACTTTGTCCCAGTCATCCTCAGACATGTGGAGCAGGAACTCATCCTGGTTGATGCCGGCAGAGGACACAACGACAGATGGCGGGCGAGAGAAGCAGGCCTGCGGGGGGGGGGGGGTCACACACGAGAACACCACAAAGAGCCAAGGCCAGTGGGGCAGCGTCGCCGTCGTTCACCTGCACTTGCTCCAGCAGGCTCCTGGCCGCCCTGGCCTCGGACACGTCAGCCTGGAAGGCGGCGTGGTTCCCGCGGGGCGCCCCTTGCGCGCTCCCCGGCCCTTCCAGCAGCTGCACCGTCTCGTGCGCCGCTGCCCCGTTCAGGTCACAGGCGGCCACGGTGGCCCCCTCTCTGGCCAGGCGCGCACAGACCGCTCGGCCGATGCCGCTGCCCGCACCTGGGTGGGAGAACGCGCGGAGGGGGGCTCGGGGTCAGAGGTCAGAGCGCAAGGTCAGTAAAATTGGGGCAACGGGTCAGAGGCCGTGGAGCTCGCGGGGTCTGAGGGCGCGCCCCTGACATCACTCCACCCCCGACCCGCCCTGGGAGAGGACCCCTCAACCTGTGACCAGGGCCAGCGCGGAGCGGAGCCGGAGCTGAGTCGTCATGGCGGGCCGTGGGTGGGCGGGCACTCCGCGCCCCGGGCCAATCCGAACGCGCAGGGGGCGTGGCAAGGCCAAGCCGCGGCCAGAGGAAGTCCCCCCAGCCCTAGGCCATCTGCGGCCACCAGCGCGGCCGACCTCCCACCGCGGGGGCGTGGCCAGACGCCAGCGTTTGGGGGCCTGGGCAGTGGGGGAGACCAGGGGCCCCATTCCCCCCAAGGAGACAAAGACTGCAAGTGGGGCGGAAGAGCCGAGGACTTTATTTCCGGTCACCACCCCCCGATTTAAACAGTGATATAAAAACGAATAGAAACAAAACAAATCAGGCTAGGAGATTACCAACTAACCCTCTCCCACCCCTACTCCAAATCACCCCCAAATCAGGACGCACGATTGATGTTTACTCCGGTCACCTCCTGCTAGCCCCTCGGTCCAGTGCTCTGGTCTTCCCTGACGCCTCCACCAGCGGTGGGAGAGGGAGGTGCACCTTAGAGAACCCAGCATGTGGCAGCCTGGTCCTCTGAAAACAAGTGGGGCCAGGGCAGCCGGGCTGTTGTCACCTCTTTCCCTTTCAGCCTTCTCTGAGGCCTCCTTTATCCCCCAAGCTATCAATTGGTCAGGCAGTGCCCAACTCTGGTCCCTCTGGCCTCTCTCTCCCCTCCACAGCCCCTCTGATCCCCAAGTCACCACTCTCCTAGGTTTCAACAGCTTACTTTGGCAGATGTTCTGCCCAGGCCTTCCAGCGCCCCCGAGAGACCCCTGCCCTGGAGTCAGGGGAGAGGTCTGGAGCAGGGGTAGGGCCGCCATCCCACCCCTCACTCGAGGTGGGCAATCAGCACCATCATGAGGACTCCCCCCAGCAGCCCCAGCACCTCCAGAAGTGACTGCAAAGGTGACGCCTCCCTCAACAGCTCAGGCAACACGGACACGGTTGCAACGTAGATAAAACCACCGGCAGTGAACGGCAGAACCCAGCCGGGACCAGCACCACCTGCACTTGCACTGCCCACTGTCCCGCCTTCAGTGAGGAGGGCACAGGCCGCGCCTGCCAATGCCCCTACTGCAGTCAGGAGCTGTAGACGCATTGCCTGGTGGACAGGAAAGAGAGAGGCACTCAGCATTGGCTAAGGATTAGCAGTGGTCTAGATGTGGCTGGCAGGGGGTAGCTGCACAGGTGTAGGGTGCATGTGTTTGGAAACTAAAAAGCTAGTTAAAAATGGGAGGGGATTTCTAAAACACATTTCCTGAAAAACCTTAAGAAATCAAAGAGGTTCTTTCCACAGAGCCTTCTGATTCAGTAGGATGTGTCTGTGTGAAGACCACTTGCAAACCATTCGGACAGTTTACAGACTAAATTTCAAGAGATACTGAGCTAGGCTGGGCACCGTGGCTTGTATTCCCAGCACTGGGAGGCTAAGGCAGGTCTCAAGTTCAAGGCCAATCTGGGCAATTTAGCAAGATCCCTTCTCAAAATAAAAAAGCAAAAAGGGCTGGGAATGTAGTTCAGTGCAAACACCCTGAGTTCAATATCCAGTACTGCAAAAAACAAATAAAGAGCTGAGCTACAGGACAAAGAAACTTCTTCCTCCTCACTTCTAGAGATTTGTTGCCAGTAACAGTACAGCCTGTTTGGAACTAATGAGAGGCAGTCCTGGGCTTGGGGTGAGTGAGCAGGGATATGTGTTTAAGGCAATGTTTTTTTTTTCCTTCAGTACCAGGAATTGAACTCAGGACCTTGCCCTTGCTAGGCAGGTCTGGCACCACTGAGCTACATCCCGACCCTAGGGCAACTATGTTTGGTGGACATCTCACCAACCTGCTTTTTGCTGTAGCCAGAGCGGACCAAGATGGCAAAGTCCCCAACCTCATGGGGCACTTCATGTAGCAGGACAGTCATTGTGGTCAGGATGCCCAGCCCTCGGCCCCCACGGAAGGACGCACCAATGGCCAGGCCGTCGGTGAAGTTGTGTGCAAAGTCAGCAGCCAGGTTCAGGTACCCAGACACACGCAGGTCTTGTACAGGACAGGAAGGAAAAACAATTAGCGGTGTTGGTTACCACCAGTCCCAGTCCTGGTCAGCCACTGTCCCACTTGCCCTCAGAGACCTCTTCCCATGCAGCCCTTCAGGTCTCCCTGACGCCTGCCATCACATTCCCAGTGCCTCACTCACCATGATGACCCTGGCTCAACCTTATCACCGTCTCTGGCCCTTACCTGAACCTGTTTTTTCTTCTTCGGGGCTCTGAGGTCTCACTGGGCCATCTTTGGGCCTGGTGCTCCCTCCTCTCCTCTTCCGCAATCCTCCTGCTTCCTTTTCTTCCTCCTCGGAGCTGGGCTTCTCCTTTGAAGGTTGCTCTGAAGGAAGAAAGGAGTTGGTCAGAACAGAGAATAGAAATTTCCTGACATGTCCTCAAAGGGCAGGCTGCTCCTCTTGACAGGGATAACAGGAGGGGATCCTCAGGGGGGCAAGGCAGCTTTCAGTGCAGTCGCTCCTGGGCTCACCCTGGTGTTCATGTCCGTGACTTTTGTGAGTATGACCGTGTCCGTGTCCATGACCGTGTCCGTGTCCTCCTTTCACATGTCTCACAGATTTCTCCACTACCAGGAAGGCGACAATTCCACTGAGAACCCACAGCCCCACAGACAGAATGGGGCCCTGGCCTGGGAATAGAGGCATTGACACATTAAGGGACATGGAGGTCCCAGTGTCCTCCTCAAGTGCAGGACAGGAAGCGCGAGGAAAGACAGACGTTCCTCAGCACCCTGACCCTGGTAGCCACGTTTCTTCCTCACCACTGTGTGAATGTCCATGTCCGGGCTGCTCCAGAGTGTGGTGAGAATGAGGTTCTACAGGAAGGAGAGAAGAAAGCCAGGTGAAGGTGAGGGACTACCACGAGCACAGGAAGCTCCATTCTCCCACTGCCCAATACCTTTACCAATACGGTAGCACCCCTCGAGTTGTGAAACCACACAGTGCTGACTACCTCACCCAAGGGCTGACCTTCCAGGGGTCACAGAGGAGACAGGAACCTTTTATTCTCAATGAATAAAACAATCTAAACTTTGAAGCACAGTGCAGAGGTTACTCACCCAGGGCATGAGGGATGAGGTGTAGGAAGGCATCTCCCAGGAGCCCCCCAGAAGCAAAACTGAGCAAGATCTGCAGCAGAGAGCGATGTCGGGGGGAGTTTGACTCTACTGGGATGAGGAAGAGGACGAAAAATGGAGCTGCAGAGATGAGCACTGTGGCCCCCAGTGCCTGGTGAAGGAAAGTAAGGGTGAATGTTGTGGAGTTTCTCAACAATCCAGAACCAGTTCCTCTCTCCCCCATGCCCTGGGGACTCACATAGGCCCAGAGAGTGACAGTGTCCAGGTCATGCTTGATGCCTAGGGACCCAGGCTCCCTGAAGCCTCCATGGCTGTGTTCATGGCTATGTTCGTGGTCATGTCCATGTCCTCTTTGGTGGAGGCTCTCATGGGAATGGCCACGGCCATGGCCATGGTGCAGGTCCTCATGTGAATGTTCATGGTCGTGACCGTAGGTGTGCCCATGCCAGATGCTCTCGTGAGTGTGGCCATGGCCATGGGCATGGCTGTGTCCATGGTGGAAATCCTCATGTGAGTGCCTGTGGCTGTGGCCAGGGAAGTCCTCTTGCACGTCCTTATGCGAGTCACCATGAGCCCCGTGTCCGGCCACCAGCAGCCCTAAGGCTTCCCAGGTCAGCAGTCCCACTGCCACCCAGTGTGGGGCCCGCAGGCCGCTGGCCATCACGCTGACCAGAGGGACAGAGACAACGATTCCACTTGACTCTCAACTCTACCTACGGGGTTTCCGCTTTAATCCGCTTGTGCCCTCCGTCCACTTCTATGGGATGCTCCCCCTTTCCATTCCGTCCCCACCCACATTGTTCCCAACACCAGTTCTCTTTAATCCCGACCTCCTTTACGGATGCAGCCCCCCCCCCCGCTCTAGCCTTTAATCCGCCACTTTATGGACTCTCTGGGCCTCGTCTCTATGACCCATTAGTTGGTGAAAAGGCCTGGAAAAGACAGTAGGGAAAAGCAGGGAATTCTCACCGGCTCCGGGGTCCTCTCCTTTCCCGGTTTGCACGGACGTGGCAGTCACGCCTCTAGCTCCCGCGAGAACAGGAAGTTCCGATCTCCCTCCACCCCAATACCGTACCTTTACCAATATGGCGGCACCCTGGAAGCCGTGAAGGCCTACGGTGGTAGCGCGCGTGCGCGAGCGTGAGGTTATTTGAGGGGAGGGTGGGCGAGGCCGGCTAACAGGCCGCTGGAGACTGCCTTCTGGGTTTCCAACTGGGCGAGGGGGCGGGAACTAGAGGCGAGACTTCCCGTCTGTACAAAGATGGCTGCCATGTCGGTGCTGTCATTTCGGTACCTAGCCCAGCGAAGCGCTTAATTCGACCCGACCCAGGCCAGAGTCTTTTCCTCTGGGCCTCCTTCGTGCTCAGCTAGTCCCCTGGTCGGTCCTTGGGAATCCCTGGCACCCTTCCGGTGCCCCTCCACTCAGCCAGGAGTCATGTCCTGGGCCGCTCGCCCGCCCTTCCTCCCCCAGCGGCATGCCGCAGGGCAGTGTGGGCCGGTGGGGGTGCGAAAAGAAATGCATTGTGGGGTCGCGTCCCGGTGGCGGCGGCGACGGCCCTGGCTGGGTCCCGCGGCGGCAGCGGCGGCGGCGGCGGCAGCAGGAGAACAACAAACCCCGGAGCCGGAGCCGGGGGAGGCTGGACGGGACGGGATGGGCGACAGAGGGCGGGGTGAGTGTCCGAACGGACGGCAGGCGAGTTAGGGACCGCGCTGTCTGCACCCCTCCCCCATACCCTCCCCGCGCTGTGCCCGGCTCCCGCCCCCTTGTTTGTAAACACGCGCCCTCTCCCTCCCGAGGGCCTTAGCGCCCTCCCCGGGGCTGGGCGGGGCGGGCAGGGGGAGCTTCCGCCCTCCCAGCCGAGGCCACTCGAGGCCCCTCGCCCGAGGTCCGGGGCGTGGGAAGGACACGATCCGCCTTGAGCTTAAGGACTCTGGACTTTGGAAGGCAGCTGCTGCTTCCCTAGGAGGTTCTCTCCCGCCTCTTTCCTCTGCACGCTCTGGCTCCCTGCTCTAAGTGGTAATGGAGGGTTGGTTGGTCTACCCCACGTGCTGCCCCACCCACGAGACAGGTCGGCGTGGGGTGACCTGGTATTCATTCGGATGCTTTGCTGGAATGCTTTCTCACCTGCTATATTCTCTTTCTCTTCAGTCAACCCCTGTTCTCACCACAGGAGTTAAACTATTTCACGACTGGGAATATTTCTGGACTTGGGCATCGTGCCTGGGGTGGGTGGAGGGCTAGGTGGGGGGTGTTGGAGAATTGAAGTCCCCAGGTGGATGATTGGAGACTCATACTCTTTTTCTCTCTCCTGTCTCTGTGTGTGTCTCTCTGCCCCTGTGTACCCTCCCTCAGACTCGCGAAGCCCGGACAGCTCCTCTCCAAATCCCCTTCCCCAGGGGGTTCCTCCCCCTTCTCCTGGACCTCCACTGCCCCCTTCAGCCTCATCCCTTGGAGGCTCTGGAGCCCCACCCCCACCCCCAATGCCACCCCCTCCCCTGGGCTCCCCTTTCCCAGTCATCAGTTCTTCCATGGGGTCCCCTGGTCTGCCCCCTCCAGCTCCCCCAGGATTCTCCGGGCCTGTCAGCAGCCCCCAGGTGAGAGGTTGTGACCCACTTACTGCCTCCCTACTTCACTTCCCTGTAACCCCAGATACTTTTGTGCACTTCCTCATGGCCCATGGACCTTCCAGTCCTCTAGTTCTAGCAGGCCCGTGGTCCCTGTGAGAACCCTTGCTCTTCCTGAGGTGGCTGATGTTTCAGTGCATGCTTCCTCCTCAAGCCTGTAACTATTTAACCCCCCCCCAATATTTTTGATATCCCTTTCAGCTATCAGTGATTTTCTGCCCTTTTGATCCCATCTGGCCTTCCAAGACACGTACCCTTCAGGATCACTGTGTCGCCCAGTTTTAGGGGAGAACTGTTTATGTCTGTACTCTTTGGGGTTGTGCTCCGTCCCAGGATGGCCCTTCACCAGACTGCCGTGTAACTGACGCCTTCTGGAATGGGCAGGGCAGGACCCAGCCTAGTGGTAGGGGATGGTTTCCATGGCCTCTGAGAGGTCATCCTTCCCAACGCGTCTCCCTATGACTTCCCTATTTCCCCCATCCCAGATTAACTCAACAGTGTCGCTCCCTGGGGGTGGGTCTGGCACCCCTGAAGATGTGAAGCCACCAGTCTTAGGGGTCCGGGGCCTGCACTGTCCACCCCCTCCAGGTGGCCCTGGGGCTGGCAAACGGCTCTGTGCAATCTGCGGGGACCGAAGCTCAGGTACGGGGCTTAGAGTGTAGGCACAGGGAAGGGAGTCTGGGCCGGGAGTCACCTGCGGGATTCCCTGGCTCCTAGGGTTGGGAGGCTGGGGGAGCCGAGGAGCCTGAGGCTCAGATATGGCATGGAAGAAGGGCAATCAGAGGGACAGAGTGGCCAGTGCAGCATTTCCGACTGAGGGTGGGGCTCGCCATCCCTCCCCTGGTTCCTCGTCTGTATTTGGCAATCACAGGGAGGACTTGGATTGAGCCTGGCTTGGGGAAGATTGGTAGGAGACTTACGATGAGGAGGAGGTCGCCATGCAGCCTTCTCACTGCTATTCCATACCCTTGCAGGCAAACACTATGGCGTTTACAGCTGCGAGGGCTGCAAGGGCTTCTTCAAGCGCACTATCCGCAAGGACTTGACCTACTCGTGCCGGGACAACAAAGACTGTACGGTGGACAAGCGCCAGCGGAACCGCTGTCAGTACTGCCGCTATCAGAAGTGCCTGGCCACCGGCATGAAGAGGGAGGGTAAGGGCCTGTCACGCAGGTTTCCCGGCCACAGGCCCTGCCGCACTGGGACCTCAGCTTGTGTACCTGTCGAGGATGCCGAACTCTTCCCTCTGTCCTCCAGGGGGCGATGTTGGCGCCTCCTCTCATTCGTGCTTCCCCTTAGTACCCTGCTCTGGTTCTTCCCTTGAGTTTCCCTGTGAATGCTTCTGTGGCCTCCACCAGGACCAATCTCAGCCCGGTCTAGTCCTGGGGTAGGACAGCCTTTCTCAGTGACGATGGGCTTCTGTGTCTCTCCCACCACAGCGGTCCCTCCTCGCCGCTGTCTCTGGTTCTCTGTGATCTTCCCTCTCACCCCTGAGCCTCTGCTTCCTTAAGCTGCAGACCTCACTGAAGACCTCAGTGCTACCTTCCCTCTTCTGCGTCTCCATCTTCTTAGGTCTGGGCCTAGAGTTCTGAGAGAAACTCTTCAGGGTCTCTTTGTTACCACCCCCTCCTTCAAAGGGAGGAGGCCGAGGAGGCCTGGCTTTCCCGAGGTCCTGCAGTGAAAGATTGGCAAGGCCGGGATCAGAAAGCGCAGCTCTGAATCCCTAGGCCAGTGCCCATTGTCCTGCTGTGATCCTCAGTCAGGAGAGCATGTGCGTTGTTGCCAGGTGCTTTGGATTCAGATGCGTGGCCTGCCGAGGTATTGTGTGAATTTAAGCAAGCTATTGAACTGTTTTGAGCCCCACGTCTTTGGTCTTTAAAAGTGGGAAGGAGCTCACAGGTCCCTTAGATTTCAGTAGCTGTCAAAGCATGTTCATTCGCACGTTTCCTGGTACACAGTGTGCCTGTTTAAGCGCTGGCTTCCTCCCTAATTCTATAGCCCTCTTGGGTCCGCCCTCTCATAACCTTTGCTTGCAGACTGCCCGGTCCACCTTTTCGAGTGAACGCCCCAGTTGTTATAAATACCTCCCGGAGACATCAGACCCTGAGAAGACCCCAGAATGGCTGAGAACCCCTTGTGACTGGCCGCTGACTTTTTGTTTTCTCTCCCCGCACCCTCCAGCGGTGCAGGAGGAGCGGCAGCGGGGGAAGGACAAGGACGGCGATGGGGAGGGGCCTGGGGGAGCCCCTGAGGAGATGCCCGTGGACAGGATCCTGGAGGCAGAGCTCGCTGTGGAGCAGAAGAGTGATCAGGGCGTTGAGAGTCCCGGGGGAACCGGGGGTAGCGGCGGCAGCAGTGTGAGTGCTGGGTGATGGGGCAGCATCGGCCTTCTCCTTCGAGACCTCCCCGGGCTGGGGGAGGGGCTCTAGGTCTGTCCTGTCCCCTGCCCTTCTCCACTGCCCGGGACCGGGACTGCGGTGCTGCCTCACAAGGCCTCAGAGGGCTGAGGTGGGTGTGGCCCCTCGCTCCATCCACACTGCCCTTGGCAGAACCACTGGCGAGTCCCAAAGCAATCACGGTTTACATGAATGCCAGGAGAGAAGCCCGAGTTATTGGGATCGGCTTAGGTGGGGTTGCAGGGAGATCATATCTAAGGAGGGGTGTCGGATCTTCTTACCGGGAACTCCCGGTGTACCTCCAGACCTCCCATAAGTCATCCCCTTTCCCCTGCAGCCAAATGACCCCGTGACAAATATCTGTCAGGCAGCTGACAAACAGCTGTTCACCCTTGTTGAGTGGGCGAAGAGGATCCCCCACTTTTCTTCCTTGCCTCTGGATGACCAGGTCATATTGCTACGGGCAGGTCAGTGACCTTGAAGCCCTCTGACCTCTTGGCACTTGACCCCCTGTGGCCTTTTGACCGCCGGTGACCCTTGGCCTTCCCTTGCATGCTCAGGGAGCGAGCTTGCTGGCCCGGCCACCTCTTTCTTCTCCCCTGATGTGCCCTGACCCCGCGCCTGACCCTTGGCTCCTGACCCTTGCTGTTCCTCCTAGGCTGGAATGAGCTCCTCATCGCCTCCTTCTCCCACCGGTCCATTGATGTCCGGGATGGGATCCTGCTTGCCACGGGCCTCCACGTGCACCGAAACTCGGCCCATTCTGCAGGCGTGGGAGCCATCTTCGACCGGTCAGTGGCCCTGGCCTGGGCTGGCCTGTGAGCCCAGGGGGTGGGGCTGTAGGCTGGTCCGAGTCCAAGGCTGGCTGAGCGGTGACCTCTGAGTGACCTGCAGGTCCCTCTCCAGGGTGCTGACAGAGCTAGTGTCCAAAATGCGGGACATGAGGATGGACAAGACAGAGCTTGGCTGCCTGCGGGCGATCATTCTGTTTAACCCAGGTAAGGAGCCAGCCCTGTCCCTCAAGATCAAGGCAGCCTTGGTGCCTCCTTTGCTCCGGAGACTCCTAAATTACCCAGCCGCCCCTCAGTAAGACCTCAGCCCGGAATCTCCCAGCCAACGCCAGAAAAAGCTGCCTCCACCCTCTCTGATCCCATCCCACAAACCCAGGGGGCCCGGCTTCCCTCGCCAGGCATCAGGCAGGGGCCAAGTAGGAGCCCTAAAGGGGGATCCTATGGTCACATCTCGTCTGTCTGTGTGTCTTCCCTGCATTGCAGATGCCAAGGGTCTGTCCAACCCCAGCGAGGTGGAGGTCCTGCGGGAGAAAGTGTACGCGTCACTGGAGACCTACTGCAAACAGAAGTACCCTGAGCAGCAGGGACGGTGAGCGGGCCAGGAGGACCCGGCGCGAGGGCGAGGGGAGCCTGTTCGGGGCCGGAGTGCCGCCTCCTCACCCGCCTTCTCCCTCCTCCACCCAGGTTTGCCAAGCTGCTGCTACGTCTTCCTGCCCTCCGGTCCATCGGCCTTAAGTGTCTAGAGCATCTGTTTTTCTTCAAGCTCATTGGTGACACTCCCATCGACACCTTCCTCATGGAGATGCTCGAGGCTCCCCACCAGTTGGCCTGAGGCCCCTCCTGGCAACTGAGGGGCGCCCTCCAGGGGACTTGAGTCCTGGGGCAGGGTGGCAGGGGCCGAGTTCCCAGATGGAACCTCAGGCGAGGAGCACGGCACAGACCCCAGGGCGACCACCGAGCCTCCAAGGGTCGTGCTTGGTATCCCGTCAGGGGTGCAGGTCCCTGAGGGCCTGCACGGCTCCCTGTGGCGGCCTTGAGTCTAAACTGTTGGGGTCTCCCGTGGTTTGGGGTGATTTCTCACCCTGTCTTTCCTCCATCACAGAGCACTGGCTCTGCTCCGAGGACCCTGCTTCCTTGGCTTGACCTCCCCGCTACCTGAGGGGAGAAGGGGAACCTCCCCCAGAGGTGGGTGTTGGGGGAGGCCCCCAGACTGACTTGAAAGTCGGTGGGCGCAAGAGGCCGCCTTCCTCCCAGACCTGGCACATGGGGCCACTGGAAGAGGGAGGGGCTGTCACATCCTGGCCCAGGCTCTGCTTGCATCACCTCCTGCGGTCAGACAGGAAGGTGGTGGAGGGGCTGGTGCCATGAGGGAGCCCATCTATTTCAAATTCCTTCTGAGGATAAAGACTTGCAGTTAGACTCAAAGAAGTACTGTACTTCCCCAGGTTGACTAAGAAATGCCAGTGGTGGCATGGGTATTTGGGCAAGGGGCCCTGGGGTGGTCTGTCCCTGGGGCTCCCGGGCACTGGCCTTGCCCGGGAAGGGCCTGGGCGGGGATCCCAGGCCCAGGCTGGTCGATGGATGCAGTGGGCGGGGGGGGGGGGGTCCATCCTCTCAGCTCTTCTCCAGCCCGGGCTAAGTGCTGGTCACCCCGGATCCTGGCCTGATAACTGCGAGGAGACACCAGTCTGTGGAGCCTGGGGCTGCATGAATTTTGCCCCGAGTCTCTTGGGGTCCTTTCCCCTCTCCCTCGCACATAAAATCGCTTTCAAATTAAGATCGATCTTTTCTGGACTGAGGTGAATCTGCGGGGGCCGACAGCGTGGCATCGGCTTGGGGGGGTAGTATCCGAGGGGCTCCCTTGACGCTTCGGCGCCGAGGTTCCCCAGGGCCTGCGCGGCGGACGCGGGTGGGGGACACAAGGGCGCTTTGTCGGGAGGGGGAAGGGGGTGTGCCAGCCCGGAGCGGGGCGGGGCGGGTGCTTCTCAAAGGCGCCTTGTTCCCCGGGCCCTGCCAGCGCCAGCGGGCGGCGGCGCCTCGCTCGCCCGGCCTCTTCTCCGGCTGCGCTGCGGGCTCCGGGCAGACCCGGCGCCGTGCCCGTCCGAGGGGGCGCGCGGGCGGCCTCCCTGGGCGCTGCCCGCCCGAGGCGGCCCACGTCCCCGAGTGACCCGTTTTCTCCGGAGCCACCCGCGGCCTGGACAACTCCCTAGCCACGCCTCTGGGTCCCTTTCACCTGGCCCTCGGGCTCCCTCACCCAGCGCCCCCCTTTCCGTAGCCTGTTGGTCCCGCCCCTTGTACCCCCTCGGACCCCTCCCGCCGGGCGCTATCTATAACCTGGTCTATAAATACCCGCCCGCGGCTCTGTAATTAGCCAGGGCGGGGCGACCGTGGTAATTGAGACCCAGTGGAGTGGGCGTGGGGTGGGACCCCCAGCACTGCCTCTCCCGCCCACTGTGCCCAAAGTCCCGCCCTGGATTCCGCGGAAAGGGGGCGCTGGGATCTTGGGGTGACGGGACGTTGGGTGCTAAATGGGAAGGGGCTAGGGACGCAAAGAGGGGCTAGTGTCGGAATAAGAGGGTCTTAGGGTGCAGGCCCTCGCGTCCCTTCCCTGCGGGGAGCAGGGGGCGCAGGTGAAGGGCGGGCAGGGAAGGGAGGAGGCCCCCGCCCAGGTGGAGGTCGAGGGTGGGGTCCCGCAGGGCTGTGGGCGGGCGGCTGGAGGCGGGGGCTGGACAGGGCGGGGCCTGGCCAGGCGCGGGGCAGCGGGGTCGCACAGGAGCGGCAGCCGCGGAGGGAGGGAGCAGCGCGGAGCCTCGACGGAGCCGGGCTGCGGAGCGCGGCAGCGCGGACAGCGTCTCCCTCCGCCGGGCCCGCGCCGAGCTGCTTGTGGCTGCGGCTGTCGGCCTCGGGCGTCCCTGGGTCCCGGGACCTGGCATCGGGTCGCCCAGCCATGGAGCGGGGCAGCCACTGCCGCCGCCTCCTCCTGCTCCTCCCGCTGGCGCTGGGGCTGAGCGGCGCCCCGGGCCGGGCAGGTGAGCGGAGCCGCGCCCGTCGTCGGCTGTCGAGGCAGCTGCGGCCGGAAGGATGGGGGGCATCGCCGAGGAGGGGCCGGCGCCCAGCTTTAGGTTGGGGGCACGCACTCGGGTCCCCACGAGCCAGGAGGGCGCCCCTCCCTCCCGGAGGGGACTGGGGAAGGGCAGGTAAGGGCAAAGGACAGGGGCGGTCGCAGACCCTGAGGCCTGGACGCCCGCCTGCGTGCTCGGAGAGGCCTGGAGAGGCCAGGCCAGCGTGGTCCAGGCGTGGCTCACGCTGGGTGGCGGAACCCAGAGCTGATGGGCAGGGAGGCGGGTGAACATCTCGGGAAGCAGAGCGGGAAGGGCGCCTCGACTGTGTCCACGGCGGGACCCCCCCCCCCGTGCCCTCCATGCTGCCACGCGGCGGGCTCTGGGGAGCGGCGGGCCGGCTGCCAACAGGACGCCGCTGGACGCGGGATCAGGTGTCCCTGCCGAAGCCGCTCTGCATTCCCGCCCCGCCCCGCCCCCTCGGCCGGCCCCCCTGGGACCCTGGTGTCCACAGCCCCCATCTTTTCCTCCCTGCTCCCCCAGGACCCAGAGTCCTGGTTCTGAAGAGAGGGGATTTGATATCAGGGCAGGAGGCCGAGAGAGCACTTGGTCCTAGGCCGGAGTAAGCCCCAACTCTTGGAAACACTGGGGCTGATTATAACTTGATTATTCATTTCTCCTGTGTTGGAGAGGAAACAGAATGGCCGCGGGAAGGGTTTAGACTAGATTAGACAGGACTTCCGCGCTCTGAGGAGCGGGGCTGGGGACGGGACAGCGCGGGTGTGCAGACCTGGGAGCCCCCGCCCAGCTGGCCGAGGTGACCGTCGTCCTTGGGGCGAGTGGGGGGAGGGCTCCTCGGAGTCCTGAGATTAGGGCCGGGGCGCCCGGGGACTCAGAGGTGAGGGGCGCTGCCGGCAGGGGCAGGTGCGGCCGGGACAGGGCGAGTTCCGCGCTCCTCGGTCGGTGGTCGGTCTTGAGGGAGAGGCGGCGCCGCTGTCCTTCGCGGCCTCGGGAAGGCGGGCGGCGAGGTCCCCTTGGCCTGGGGTCTCTGTGGGTCTCTGTCTTCTCGCTCGCCTTGGTCTGTCAAAGCGGCCCTTGTGTGTTGGTGTTTGCGGAGCTGCCACACGCGGGCCGGGCTCGGGCGGGGCGGGGCGGGGCGGGGGCGGAGGGCCGAGGTTTCCTGGCTCCTGGACTCAAAGGGCCTTTTCTCTGCCGCCCGCCCCGCCTCGCCTCGCCTCACCCACCCGCCCCGCGGTGCTCTCCTCATGGCTTCGGCCTCTGCCCTGCCGCACACTTCTGTGCGCGTTTTGCTGGAACTCGCTTTGGGACTTTTCCAGCCTGGAGCTGATGGTGTGAGAAACCTTAACCCAGGGAGAGGTGACCTTCCTTCTGCCGCGGGGTTTGGCCCCAGGCCGCCGGGGTCTGGGTAGTCCGGGCTGGTGGCTGTCTGGAACCTCTGGGCCTCAGGTGGTGGGGGGCTGAGATTCCAGGTGTGGGGGAGCTTGCCCGGGTTTTGGGCAAAGACTCTGATGGGATCCACAGATGTGTGGCTCTGGGCCCGGGCCCTGGCCCTGCTGCTGTCCTGCGTGGCAGCCTCAGCCCCCCACCCCCGCCCCCTCCCCGGGCCCCTAGTCCATCTCCCAGGCCACGGGCACAGGCTCCCAGGACAGCTCTTTCTCACGACTCCTTCCCCAGCATGGCCAGTGTGGCCCCACGCCCCAAAGCCAGGATCGGAAGCAGCCTGAAGCCCCCTCCCATACAGCTGCCTCTTCGCTCCCTCCCTGGTGGCCCCCCTGCCCCTCCTGTGCCCAGGATGATCGATCGCCCAGATGTTGTTTGTGCTGGAGACAGGACAGATGCCAGAGGCAGACAGGGAGATATGGAAAGGGAATGAAAGAGAGAGAGAGGGAAAAGTCGGGAAGAGAAAAGGACTGGCAGTATGTAAGGGAAACAGGGAGACAGAGGACACAGAGGGACAGAAAGACCGACAGGTGTGGAGACAAAAAGAATAAGAGACACAGATCGAGGGAGATGAGAGCCAGATGGCGTTGAGAGAGGTATTAAGAGGCATTGGTAGAGATGCCCAGGCGGAGAGGCACGCAGGGAGCAATGGGGGTGTGGGCATGGAGCCCAGTCCGGGGCCAGTGCAGCCTTCCCCTGCAGGTACCATGCTCCTCATCCACACAGGGACAGCAAGGGAGGGCTGGGGATTTAGCTCAGCAGGTCCCGAGTTTGATCCCCGGTACCAAAAAAAAAAAAAGAAAGAAAGAAAGCAGGGAGAGGCGGCTTTCATCTTCCAGGGAATCTGAGCCCAGTGTCCCCTCCTGACTCCTTCCTTCCCCTCTCAGGTGCGCCCCCTGTGGACCTGCTCCGGGCCCTGCGGTTCCCCTCCCTCCCTGATGGAGTCCGGAGGGCGAGAGGCGTCTGTCCAGCTGATGTGGCCTACCGAGTGTCTCGGCCTGCCCAGCTCAGCGCACCTACCCGCCAGCTCTTCCCGGGTACCCGTGTCAGGATGGGGTCTGGGACCCCGGGAGGGAGGGGCTGTGTCTTCCTTCCCCTCTCACTGTCTGTGTCTGTCTCTCTTGGGTACCAGGAGGCTTTCCCAAAGACTTCTCTCTGCTGACTGTTGTCCGGACCCGGCCTGGCCTCCAGGTGCCCCTCCTGACTCTCTACAGTGACCAGGGTGTCCAGCAGCTGGGCCTGGAGCTTGGCCGACCAGTCCGCTTCCTGTATGAGGACCAGACCGGACGGCCCCAGCCCCCGGCTCAGCCGGTCTTCTGGGGCCTCAGCCTTGCGGACGGCAAGTGAGTCCCTGGCCTCCCTGGCCTGCCTGGCCCACACTCTCAGGAGAAGGTGCCCAGGTCCCCATCCCTAACCTGGGAAACCCTGCGACCCTTTTCACCACGTAGCACATGGGCCCTGCCCAGATGCCAGTCATGCCAGGCCCGGGGCTTTGCTTTGGAGTTTCTTTCCTGTTGCATATGTAGCACTACCCTGTACCACCACGGGAAAATGCCTTAACTTTTTTGAGCCTCATTTCCTCGGTTTGTGAAGCAGACATAATAGGGTAGAATTGTGAAGGTCAAGTGCGTGGTGCCTGGCATGGCGAGCGTGGTGCACACACAGTTGTGATTACCGCTGTTATCGCTGACTTCTGCGCCTCCACCAGCTGCTCCCCACCCTGTTGACTCCCCCTTTGGGCCAATCGCTCGAACCTCTCCCTGCCCACGACCAGGTGGCACCGGGTGGCCGTGGCTGTGAAGGGGCAATCTGTCACCCTCATCGTTGACTGCAAGAAGCGAGTCACCCGGCCCCTTCCCCGAAGCGCTCGCCCGGTGTTGGACACCCGAGGGGTGGTCATCTTCGGGGCCCGTGTCCTCGATGAAGAAGTCTTTGAGGTAAGAGAGCAGTGTGAGAAAGGAGCCAGCCTGGTCCTGTGTCTTGGGCCAGCCACGCTCTGCCTTCTTCACAGCATCTTCCTGCTCCCCAGGTCTTCATTTATCCTCTCGTGGATTTTTATTTCTATCTTCCATTTTAGGGCTATTATTTTTTTTTGCGTGAGAGCTCATATAGCTGGACTGTCCATAGCCACTTCTCTGGGATTTAGTCTTTTTTTTTGGTACCGGGGATCAAACTTGGGACCTTGCACTTGCGAGGCAGGTGGCGGAACCACTGAGCTAGATCCCCGGCCCGCACTTGGTCTTCATCTGTTCACCTGCCTCGCCCACCCACTCACTCACCAGTGACCCACCAGTCCACCGTGCGCACGTGCATGACTACCACCCTCACCCTCCACTTACCTACCCATCCATTCACGTAATCGCTCACCTGTCCATGCATTTAGGCCTGCGTCTACCACTTGGCCATCCTTCCCTCACTCAGCCAGTTCCTCCTTCAAACTGCCCGTCAGTCTGTCCATCCTCTTCAACCCACACTACTGTCTGTCCACTAAGTCACCTGCCTACCCTCTCATCTACACTCACACACATCCCTGTGTCCATCCAAGCACCCGTACTTCTACCAGCTCTACCTCTTCTTCACCCAATGCATTCACCCACACATCTCCTCAGCCATCCACTCCCCACGCAGCCATGCATATACACACATCTTAAATCCCATCCATCTACCTGCCCCCAAATCTGCATCTGTCTGCTCTGTGCCTCCCCCTCATTCACCCACCACTCTGCATTCATTCATTCACTCACTATTCATCAACACTCCCATTCAGTCATATACTGGAGCCCTCATTCACTTAGTTTCCTATCTACCCATCTACTTATCCATTCATCCATCCATTCTCCTCCCCAGACAGGCAACATTTTCTATATACCAGCTGACCGGGAGAATAAGATAAGGTCTCCATCATCCCAGGGAATTCCCAGTTTGGCTTTGGAGATGAGACAATATCCCCCCAATACAGTGTAAGGCCAGGTATCCAAGCATCAAGTGTGGGCACAAGTCAGGGCCACTGGAGTAGGGAAGGAGGTTCTCCTGCCCCATTTCTGGAGGTCCTGAGAGTGCTCATCATGACTGCCATTCTAAGGCCAAGGGAGCTAAGGCTGGGCCTCAGTCTCCAGAAGCCACCGTGAAAAGGCTCGTGGATCACCACGGGGTCAGGGAGTAGCAAAGAGCTGAACTTGAAATTGGAAGGCCTCAGTTCTAGTCCTTCTGCCACTCTGAGTGGCCCTGGGCGGTCATTTCCTTCCTGAGCAGTTCAGAATGGAATGCGCCCGAGAACGGTGCGGTGCGGAGACCCTAGTCTGAGCGGCTTTCCCAGGGTATGGAGGTCCGCGGGGCACCGGGGAGGCTGGCAGTGACTCCCATTATGCAGCCCTGCCGGGGATCGGCCTCCTCCCTTTGTGCCCGGCTTGTTCCCGCTGGGTCTCTGCCTCCCTCCACGTTCCTTCCCCGCGTCGTGGCAGGGCGATGTGCAGAAGCTTGTCGTTGTTCCTGGAGTCCAAGCTGCCTATGAGTCCTGTGAACAGAAGGATCTGGAATGTGAGGGCAGCCAGCGGGAGAGACCTCGGAACAAACAGTCGCACAGAGCCCAGAGATCGCCAAAGCAGCCACCGTCAAGGCTTCACAGACCGCAAAACCAGGAACCCCAGCGACAGGTGAGGGACTGGGCGGGCCCAGGCATGCGCACTCCGCACACGGCGGCGGCGGCGGACCCGGCCTGGCCGCTCCCGTCCTGAGCGCCTCTCCCCAGCCACGCCTCCCCGTCCCCTCCCGCATCCCAGTCCTCTTTCATCAACTTCTTAACTTTCATTCAGAAATCAAAAGTTGTCGCGAAGGCTCTGGCCGGGGCCGTGTTCCCCGCTTGCGTCTCACCCTGACCCAGTCCCACCGCTTTCCTGAATCAAGAGACTGGGGACGGGGCAGGGTGGGCCTGGGAGGGGGCGGAACGCAGAGCAGGGAGACCGGAGGAGGGAGCTGAGAGGGAAGGGCGGGCCAGGAGGAGGGACCGGGCAGGGCAGGGGGTCCCGTCTGGAGGAGGGAGTGGGCGCCCCTTCCGCGCGGGTCCAGGTCCAGGGCTAGGCGTGGAGGGGCGGGAAGGGAGCTGGGTCGGGGCCTGGCCGGGCGGCTGACAGCTAGCGCTGGGCTCCGTGCTCTGCGGTCTGAAGGCTCGATCCCCTCAGCGTGTTTGCTTCTGTCCCCCGCGGGAGCGGGACCCACCCTCTCCTCCCCAACCTCTGCTTTCTCCTCGATTCTGTTTCCCAACTCCGTGCCCCCCGTTTCCCGTTTCCCGACTCCCAAACCATCTTGTCTCCCCTCCCCGCCTTCCCCCACCCCCTTCCTGCCTCCTCCCGCCCCTCCCCTCCCCCCAGCCCCCCGAGCCTCTCCACCTCGACTACGAGCCTCCCTACGACGCCGAGAAGACCAGGGGCACCGCCCCTGACGGTCAGGTAACGAGGGAGGGAGGGGCCCGCCTCCGCCTCGCCTCCGCCTTCGCCTCTCCCCTTCCGCCCACCTCTGCCACGCCCTGGCTGCCTCCCCTCCCTCCCCAGTTCCCGGGAGAGACGCCCTATATTTAGATTATGAAGGTTTACTTACCGCCCCTCCCCTGTCTCTCTGCTGCAGCGGCCTCAGAGCCCCAACCGCAGGGCTCCCCCTTCCCCTAGGGGGCGTCGGACCCCTCCCCGAAAGCCTAACCCACCTGCCAAGAGGTCCGCGGCCCGGCAGGCGCCCCCCTCAGCGGGCCGGAAGCCCCCTGGAGCTGGAGGCTCTGGGTCAGCACAGAGCCAGCCTCCCCCCTCCAGACCAGCCCGGCAGGCAGCTCCCCCCACTGCCCGGGCCCCCCCCAGGACCAGAGGCAGCGGCTACCGGCAGGTAGAGCTGGGGCATCCGGATCTCTGCCCCCCGAAACTAGATTTCGGGGCCTCATTCTCTGTCTCCCCTCGAAAGGGGCTGCAAGATCTGCGATTCCCCCCAACCCCAGCACAGACAGACACTGCCCCGGGAGGGGCGGGTCAGGGGCTGCTGGGCCTCCGCCTGCTAACCTCTGCCTTCCTCCCCTCTGCTTCTCCTCTCTGCCTCTCCCTGGGGTTAGTACCCCACCCCTGGTGAAGAGGAAGGAGCCCCGGAGTCAAGCCCCTTGCCGCTCCCGGAGGAGGTAACCCCCGTCCGTGGGCATCTGAGACCCGGAGCCCGTGGTCCCGCTGAGCCGCCCCATCGCTGGCTGGAGAGCTCTTTGCCACCCGTCCCGGTCGTTCCTGGCCCTCTGTCTTCCGGTCCCTTCCTACGTGTGGGCCTGCTCGGCTGTCTAAGTACAGCGGTTTCCTTTGCTGTCCATGTCTCCTTGTGATGCTCTGATGCCAGAGCAGCTTCTTCTCCATGCTGGGGCCACCCAGGCTTCCTTTCTGCTCCTGTTCCCCTTCCCAGGACCATTTCCTGACCGGTGCTGCCACTCGTGTCTCCCCCAGCGCCCCACCCTGTCTCTTCACCCCTCGGGCCACTCCCGTTTCCTGGGCCCCGTGTCTCCGTTATGCCCATGGACTCCCCTTTGCATCCGGCCCTCCGGCCCCTCTTCTTTTGTTCACCATTCCCCCGCCAGGCCCGTTTTCTGGCGATTTCTCCGCGGTCTTGGCCTCTGATGGTCATCCTTTTTCTAGACAGCCACTCCCCTTGCTCTTCTTGGGGAGAGAAATTCCAATGCCAGTTACCTTCGGGATCCTTTGGGCTAGAAGTTATGAGATGTGGGGTTCGAGGGTAACCTCCTGCCACCCCTAATGCCCCATCCACTCCTCCCCATCCCCGGGAAGGAGCGGACAGATCTCCAGGTCCCCCCAACAGCCGAAGGGTTCCTGGCAGAGGAACATGGGGAGGGTGGCACAAACGCCCCAGCAGGGCTCTACGACTACACCTATGGCTATGGGGATGACTATCGTGAGGAGACGGAGCTTGGCCCTGCCCTCTCTGCGGAGACTGCCCACTCGGGAGCCGTAAGTGAGGGGAGCTCTTCCACTCTTGACCACCAGTGGGCGCTGCAAGAATCGCTTCCTGTTGTTTTTGGTCACTGTTGGCTGTGAGCTACTTCCCATTGGTGGTTTGCCATGTTCCGTGTGCAGATGTCTATGTTGCTTGAAAAGATTACTTTCTGCCTTCCCTTGCCAAATGTCTCGCCCCGTGTCTCCTTTCGGATCCTTTTGCCTGTGGCACTTGAGATTTTCATTTTAGTTCTGTGGCCGCTTTCTGTCTTTCTTGGCCAATCCTGTCTAAAGCTGGATTTCATAAGGCTTTTGGTCAGTAAGCAACTGCCTTGTGTCTGTTTTCAGTCTGTCTCTATCAATTCTTCTTGATCGAAAGAATTTCTTGTCCATATTGCTGCCGAATGACCTAACTTTCTCTGTCACATTTTCTAACCTATAGGTCACTTCTTATCTGTCTCTTCCTGTCCTCTCTGGCCATGGCATCCATCTTGGTGATGATGTCATTTATTATTTGTGTTCTGACTCTGGTTTTTCATACGGTCTTGGGACAGTTTCCTCTGACAATAAGACACTTTCTGTGTATCTCAGATTATCCAAATCATAACATTTCCATTGTGGGCCTAGATATTTCTCATGGCTATTTCCTATCTATTCTAGCCTTGCTGTTTGTGGTTTTTCCTGAAAGAATTGCTTTTCTTTGTCATAATCCCATTTGCAGGAGTCATTTTTAATCTGCTTTGTGAATCTTTCTTCTCTCTGGGTCATGGCAGCCATGTTGTTGTTGAAGGTCCGCTTTCTGGATCTTCTTTTCTGGGCTGCTTCCTGTCTGTCTAACCACTTCCTGTTTATCTGGGTGGTTTTCTAGCCCTCTTGGCTATGTTTAATTTGTCTTGGCCCTGGCATCATTCTTGCTTCCAAGCATGTGTCCCTTGTTTTGTCTCCCTTGGTAGTTTCTCATGTCTTTGAGCACTCCCTGTCAGTTGAAATATTTCCTGTCTGCTCCACTTCATCTTTTGCCAGCCTTGCAGCAATGGCTGCCTCCTCTACGTTGCTGCCCCACCTAACACTTCCCTGCTCTAACATTGCCATCCTTAACCCTCTGCTGCCTTTCCCTTATGCCTGCTTCTGGGGGTTTAGGGTTGACCTGGGATTTGGGAGAGTTGGGAACCCATCATTGCTATCTGGTCAGGGTGCAGGAAGAGGGGGTAGTCTGAAGATCTTTGTTGGGAGAGTTGGGGGTGGTGTTAAATGTCTCCCATTCTCCCTGTGCTTGGCGGGTTTGGGCCCTAGAGTTTGGAGAAGTGTGGAAGGGAGGGAGAGGCCTTGGTTGAGTATAAATGAGAGTCAGAGGAAGCAGATAGCTTCTGCAGGTCTGCTCGGGGCCTTGGGTACATGAGCCCAAGAGCTGTATTACGAGACCTGAGTATGGAGCACCAGTGGAAGAGCTTTCCAGATCTACTTGAACTTTGGATGCCAAGTCTCGTGCATGCCTGTGTGTGCGTGCGTGCGTGCGTACATGTGTCTGTGTGTGTGTAAACTTGTGAACCTTTTGAAACCCTAAGTAAGATTCTAGGTATGAGGACATATGCCTTCTATTTCCTAGAGAAAGACTCAGCGTTCATCATATCCTTATATAGGTCCATGCTTACCCTTACCCCAAATAAAAATCTTTCCGCCGTCTCAGAGAGGTTCTTACTTGGTGGGCCAAGGAAGTGGGTAGCCTCTTGGGTTCTAAGGGCTCCTGGGGTGAGAGGGAGTGTGGGGGACAGCGTGAGATCCTCCAGAAAGGCGTTTGGGAAGGTTGAGGGTTTGAAAACCCAGAAAGAGGAAGAAGCCGTGAAGGAGACTAAGTTGTGTTTGTTGAGGTGTGGCTGGGAGCCCGTGTGTGTGTGTGTGTGTGGGGGGACCCCTGAGGTCTTTGGCAGGCGTGGGAAGTCTATAAGGGTGGAGTTTTTGAGAAGAGCTAGGAAATTTGTAAGCAGGGTCAGGGAGGATGACGATTGGAACTGGGGTGGGCCGTCCTGGTGTTCCGGCTGCTCATGGGCCCCGCTGGGGGTTACATGTGTGTCTCCCTCAGGTTGCCCGTGGACCCCGGGGGCTGAAGGGAGAGAAGGGAGAGCCTGCCGTGCTGGAACCTGTGAGTTACATCTGTCACTGCGCCGAGGGAGGAGGAAAGAAGAGAAGAAAGCAGGGCTGGGGGTACTCGTCCTGCGGCTCCTGACTGTTAACCTCTGACTCCACAGGGCATGCTCGTGGAGGGACCCCCTGGCCCAGAAGGCCCTGCGGTGAGTGTGGCTGTGACCACAGCCTCCCTTCTTTTCTTGAAGGCTTTTCCTGCAGCTCTGCTGTGCTTTGCCTGAATATGCCCGGGCCTGCTCCTCAGAACGCCAGGGAGGCCTTCCAAGCAAAGCTCTCAGGTTCCCAGATTGGTTCTGTAGACAACATCCCTCTTCTGTCTGATGCCCGCACCTAACTCCCTGCTCTTTTGTTCCTCAGGGATTGACTGGTCCCCCTGGTATCCAGGGGAACCCAGGCCCAGTTGGAGACCCTGGAGAGAGGGTAAGGGAGTGTTCTGTGGGTGGGGCATGGAAGGAGGGTAGCTGTAAAGGAGCCATTTGTACCCCGAGGGTGGCCATGCAGTAGCTCCTTACCAGCTGACTGATTGGATGGGTGGTTGTGCTCCCCAGGCACCCAGAAAGGAGGGCATAATCTGGTCGGGGAGTGGAGTAACCTGGTATCTCAGCCGCCTTTCCCCAAGGGGTAGGGGGCTCAGGGAAGATCTAGGGAAGTCTGCATTTATTCTGCTGAGGAATGATTCAAAATGATGTCAAGGCCCTAACATCCTCTTATGCAAATAAAGTTGCCCGTGTATTCTTATTGTTTCCCACTCCAGGGACCCCCTGGCCGAGCAGGGCTCCCTGGATCTGATGGTGCCCCTGGCCCTCCTGGCACCTCCCTCATGCTCCCAGTGAGTTGCCTTCTGGGCTTTGGAGTGGGCTCATGGGTACAGCTGGGGAGCTGTACCCCAAGAATCAGAAAGTCAGCAGAGCTATGGGAATTTCTAAGGGTGATCCAGCCATAGGGAGAGATCTTTGGGGTGGGAGGATTCGGGTTCATTAGAGGACCTAGAACTACACATAAACTCTTCTGGAACCTACTTGGGTCATCTTAGAACCAGGCAGAAAATCCTATATTTCAAGGAGGGTCTAGAACCAAAGGAGCCTTCTGGAAGGAAGAGGCTGGAAAATGGGGAGGAGGATGGGAGTTGGGATTCTGAAAGCGTCTAAGCAGTGCCTGGAACTCACGGAAGACGCTAGAGAAGGCGCGGGGTCTCCTAGAACTTGGGGCAGGGGGCAGAAGTGCAGGAGGAAGCCTCGGGCTGGGAAGGGCCCATGGATTTCCCGGATGTGAACCCGAGGCTTTTCTCCTTGGCCCTCAGTTCCGGTTTGGCAGCAGTGGGGGTGACAAGGGCCCTGTGCTGGCGGCCCAGGAGGCACAGGCCCAGGCAATCCTGCAGCAGGCACGGGTGAGGAGGGCGGGGGCGACCCTGGGAAGGGGCTGGAAGGGTGGGCTGGAGTGGGAGGAGGGCGGGAAGGGCTCAGAAGGAGCAGGAGGACGTAAGTCTAAGTCGTGGAGTGTGAGGTGTGGAAGGGGGTATCCTGAGCTTCTCCAGCTGCCTTCGCCTCAGCCCTGCTGTTTCCCTGCTCCCCTAGCTGGCGCTCCGTGGACCCCCTGGCCCGATGGGATACACAGGCCGCCCTGGGCCCTTGGTGAGTGTGTTAGTTTCCTCTATCTGTGTGTGGAGGTATGGATAATTCTGGAAAGGAAGCATGTTGCCAGTAGTTTTGCTTCTTTGGGGAAGGCTTTGCAGTCCCTCTTGGGTGTGTCCTTCAGCACGGCCAGCCCCTCTTCTCTTTCACAGGGACAGCCCGGGAGCCCTGGCTTGAAAGGAGAGCTGGGAGACCTAGGGCCCCAGGTCAGTGCCTACGTCCAGTGCCCCGCCCATGGGTGCCCCGTCTGTGTCCATTAACCCTTTTCCTGTCTCTGTCCTCACCAGGGCCCCAGAGGACCTCAGGGACTCTCAGGGCCCCCCGGCAAGGCTGGACGGAGGGTGAGCACCCCGGGGCTGGGATGGGTGTTGCGGGGCAGGGCTTGGAGGTGGCAGGACTATTCCTCTCCTGGCCCTCACGCCTCCCTGCACCTCCAGGGCCGAGCGGGTGCTGACGGAGCCCGAGGGATGCCGGGAGAACCTGGGGTGAAGGTAACAGGCGTGGGGCCCCTTACTTGTCCACGTCCCTAGGGTGCAGCCTCTCCCTGCCCAGGGCACAGCGGGGTGGCGTGAAGGACCCTCACTCTGGCTGCCCCTCTCCTTCCTAGGGTGATCGAGGTTTTGACGGCCTCCCAGGGCTACCTGGGGAGAAGGGGCACAGGGTAGGTGTATTGGGGGCGGGTTGGCTCTGGGCCGGGGGCAACTCTGTGGGGGCAGGTGGGGATCTCTGTGGAAGAGGGCTGGGGGCCAGTGGGAGCCCCTGAATGACGTCAGTTGGGTAGTGAAAGAGGTTCAGTGTCTGCAAGTGCTGGGGCTCGAAGCCCCTCTTAACTGTTCCCCATTTTTCAGGGTGACACTGGCGCCCAGGGCCTTCCTGGGCCCCCTGGAGAGGATGGAGAGCAGGTAAGCGTCGTGGCAAGGGCAGGGCTGGGGACAGAGCGGGGTAGGAGGGGCTACTTCACTCCACCCTCCTCCTCCAGGGAGATGATGGGGAGACCGGGCCCCGGGGGCTGCCTGGAGAGTCGGTGAGTGGGGTCAGGCTGGGCCGGCCGGGCGGCTCCCGGGGAGTCAGGCCGGGGACACGCTGCTTCTCTCTCATTCATGCTGCCTCCTCTCCCAACCTTGAATGCAGGGACCTCGAGGGCTCCTTGGTCCCAAAGGCCCCCCTGGAATTCCTGGGTCCCCGGTGCGTGAGTTTCTGACTCCCCACCCTTCCTAACTCCCGCCCCGATGCTGCCTCACCTGCTGCCCCTCCCCGTGAGCTCCCCGACTCCGGTCCCACCTGTCCCTGCTCAGCTGTCACCCCCAGGAGCACTTGCAGGGCCATGTGGCCCAGTGCACCCAGGGCTCTGAGCCGAGCCAAAGCAAAACAAACAACAGGAAGCCTCAAACCCGTGCACCCCAGGCCCAGCTCGCCTGCAGGTCCACACGCGGTGCTCGCTTAGGTTGGGGAGAATTGGCACTGAGTACCTGCCCCGTCCGTCCTCTGGAATGGCCGGGCCTCTCAGAAACTGCAGGCTCCTCCAGGCCCAGCTCCACTCCCGCCTGCTCACGCCCTTCTTGTGTTTCAGGGAGTCCGAGGCTTGGACGGGCCACACGGGCCCAAAGGCAGCTTGGTGAGTGAGGGGCCTGGAGGCCCAGCCCCCAGCCCAAGGTGCCCACAGGGCCCTGCTCACCTCCATCTGACCCCTGCCCTTTCTGTTCTGTCGCATCTCCTGCCTCCCATTTGGCCACCTGTGTCTAGGGACCCCAGGGAGAGCCAGGACCTCCCGGACAGCAGGGCACCCCTGGGACCCAGGTGAGTGGTCCTCTGTCCCTCTCCAGCTGTGGTGACTTCCCTGGGGCTTCACAGTGGGTCAGACTGTGAGTGGGGACAGGAAACCCAGGGTTCGCAGGCTTGCTCAGTTGGAAATGGGAATGCCGAGGGTGGCTGGAGGGAGCAGCCATGCTGCAGGCCCCGTGACTTCTCTCTGCTGTGTGCAGGGTCTCCCTGGGCCTCAGGGTGCCGTTGGCCCTCGTGGTGAGAAGGTGAGTGGCCAGGGGCAGGGGCCAGGGGGTTCTGAGGGATGGGTAGAAGGGCTTCAAATGTCTACTGGGGCCTCAGCTTCGGTTAAGACCCAAGCCCTCTAGCAACCCCGAATCTGCTCATCTTCCTGCAGGGGCCTCAAGGGAAGGCAGGGCTCCCCGGCATGCCTGGCTCAGACGGACTCCCGGTGAGTGGCCCCCCTTCAACCCGACTCTCCCGTGGCCCTTCACCTGCAGGCTCCTTCAGTGACCATGGCCTGATGGTCCCTTGTGTGGGAAGTCACTGGAGGTGCCCAGCCTGTCGGCTGGCTTTGTGAGGCTGAGGGGGTTTGGGTTGGAAGGAGTGTAGGGAGGTGCACGGAGGTGACACGGACCAGAAGTCACACGAGGCATCCCCTCTGCTAGGGTCATCCCGGGAAGGAAGGTCCTCCTGGAACCAAAGGAAACCAGGTGAGATCTTCCATGCCTCCCTTTACCTCCTGAGGGGCCTGCACCCTAAAGTCCTTGGATTTCCTTTTCTCATCATTCCTGTGACTCTGACAATATTCTCAGTCCCGTGTCCTGTCACCCTGTCCAGACTCCAGTGTCTGGAGTGTTCCCATCTCTCTTGACCCCTGGTGACCTTTATAAGTGGCTCTCTTCCTTCCCGCAGGGCCCGTCTGGACCTCAGGGTCCTTTAGGATACCCCGGACCTCGAGGTGTCAAGGTAACTGAGCACAGGGGGGTGAGCTGGGGTCCTAGGGGCCTGGCCCTTCCCCCAGCCTCCATACCCCGACTGCTCCATCCCTGCACCCCTCTTCTTCTAGGGTGTGGATGGAATTCGGGGTCTGAAGGGTCACAAAGGTGAAAAGGTGAGCATGGCCCAGCTCCCCGACACGCCTCCTGCCCGCAGCTGCTCCACACGTCCTCCAGCTCCCGAAGCCCGCCTTCCCGTGTTCTCTGAAAGCCCCCACCTTTGTCCCCGACCCTCCACCATCTGGGTGTGCTCCCACCTCCATCTTGCAGGGCGAGGATGGTTTTTCCGGGTTCAAAGGTGACGTGGGCGTGAAAGGTGACAGGGTGAGTAGAAGCCCCGCACTACACCCTAGTGGCCTCTTGGAGCCCAGTCCTGGCGGTGTGGGGACGCCACGTTCCGAGCCATGCTGGCCTCGCCTCCTACTCCTCCCCGGGCTCCCTGTCCGGCGGCAGCTTGTGGGGCCCCGCCCACCCCCTTACAGCAGAGGTGCCTGCCTGCCTTTCCTGCTGGAGTCCCTGGTCCCTGACTCTCACTGCCATGACACTCTCAGGGTGAGGTCGGAGTTCCTGGCTCCCGGGGAGAAGATGGCCCCGAGGGGCCGAAGGGACGCACGGGACCCACTGGAGACCCTGGGCCCCCTGGACTCATGGGCGAGAAGGTGAAGGGGACGAGGGGTCACCTGGGGCTCGGGGGGGGGGGGGAGGCGTGGCCCGGGAACCAGAGTGGGGTATGGGGCGCCAGCCAGAGAAATCGGAAGACCCGGCTGTGTGCATCGCGTCCCTCAGTTGCGGCACTGCCTGTTGGTGATGGGCTGCGGGAGATGCTTAAGGAGTGGAGGAAAAGCCCTCCTCCGATGGGCTGGGAGGAGACCTGGAGGCGCAAGGCAGCAGGCATCTGAGGGGGGAGCGTGCAACAGGGGCTGAGGTCCGGCCTTGGCGGGTGGCCGGCTAACTGCTTGCTGGGCCTGCGAGCCAGGTGCCAGGTCCTTTGCAGAGGAGGCTTTGCAGAGGCGCGGGGACCTTGATGCTCGTCAACCTTGACCTTTGGCCCCCAAGGGCAGAGCCTGCCTTGAGCCCAGGCAGGCTGGTGCAGACCCCAACTGCTGCCCTGCAGCGGCCCGGGGAAGCAGGAGGCCTGGAGCAGCAAGGAGGGGGTGCGTGGGGAGCAGTGGGGTTGCTGGGCAGCCAGTGAGAGCCCCGTCCTGGGTGCCAGGGAAGCCGGGCTGAGCTGGCCGCTGGGCAGGTGCTAGATCGCAGTGACCCTGACTTCCGAAGACTGGCCTGAAGAGCTCAGGGAGACAGGAGAGCTGGGGAAACCCGCTCTGGGGAACAGACCACGCACGAGTCAGGCAGGGCAGCCGAGGGAGGCAGATGAGGGCCGCGCTGGGGCCGGTGGGAAGCATCTCCGGGGAGGCGTGGCGTTTGTGGCTCCTCCTGCCCCTAATCACCCTTCCTTCCGCAGGGCAAGCTGGGTGTCCCTGGCCTGCCTGGCTACCCTGGACGCCAGGGTCCCAAGGTGATGTGCGCCCACTCCGCCCTCTTCCTTCCCTCCCTGTCCCTGGCTCCAGGAAGCGCAGGCTGGCAGAGCAGGGTACCCTGGGAACTTAAGGTGGCCCCCACTCTACAGGTGTGAAGATAGAGGCCCACAGGGTTGCAGGGTTTGCCCGAGGCCACCTAGTTATTGGCAAGGCCCAGGGACCCTCGCCGTGGACAGCGGGGGCTCTCCTGGTCCCCTTGGCCCTTTCCCATCCTGACCCTGATCCTCCCCTTTCCTGACTTCTCATCCCCGCTTCCCACCCACCAGGGCTCCCTGGGGTTTCCTGGCTTCCCTGGAGCCAGTGGAGAGAAGGGAGCCCGGGTAAGTGGGGGAGCGAGCGGCGGGGGGAAGGGCTGGTGGGAGTGTGGGGCCTGGGGGGCACATGCAGGTGACTTCTATGCTCCACCCCCAGGGCCTGTCAGGGAAAGCAGGACCTCGCGGGGAACGAGGGCCCACGGTGAGTACAGGGGGAGGAGCGGGCTCTGCGGCTCCCAGGGCCTCCGCGTTTCTCACCGCTGTCCTCTCCTCTCCTCTCCCCAGGGCCCGCGGGGCCAGCGGGGACCCCGAGGAGCCACTGGCAAGTCTGGAGCTAAGGTCGGTGGTCTCGAAGGGCTCTGGTGCCCGCTGCCCAGGGAGGGCCAGCCCCTGCTCCCCTCCTCCCCAGGCCGAGGCACTGGCTGACTCTGTTTCCCCCCAGGGAACCTCAGGAGGTGATGGCCCCCACGGGCCCCCCGGAGAGAGGGTGAGTGCGGCCCGGTGTCCCGGCAGCCCCTGCTCTGCGGGTGGGAGCTGCGCCCGGCCCAGTGCCGCCTTCCGCCCCTGACCTTGCCCCTCTCTGCTCTAGGGCCTCCCTGGACCTCAGGGCCCCAGTGGCTTCCCTGGCCCCAAAGGCCCCCCGGTAAGCTGCCTGCTGACTGAGCGCCTGGTCCCCGAGCCCTTCTTGGCTGTACCCTTCCCTGCCTGGGCTCGCCTGACATCTGAACCCCTTCCAGGGCCCCCCGGGGAAGGATGGGCTGCCCGGGCACCCAGGCCAGAGAGGAGAAGTGGTAAGTGACGCCCCGGCCTCAACCCCCACAGCTGTCTGGAGCCAAGCACGGGAGGGGGCGCTGGCACGGTGCGCTGGGGCTGCTCATCCCCGCCGGCTGTGCGGCCCCTGAGGGCCTTGGCTCTGCCCGCTCTCCACACCTGCTCTGATCCTGCTCCCGTCCCCTCAGGGCTTCCAAGGGAAGACAGGCCCTCCTGGGCCCCCTGGAGTGGTGGGACCCCAGGTAGGTCTGCCTGCCCCTGTCCCTCAGCCACGCACACCCGGCCCTGGTTTGCCTGCTCGGACCCCGGAGATGGGAGATGGGGCCGGCCGGGTCCTGAACCTTGGTTGTGTCCCAGTTTCTCCTCCTTGGGGCGGAGGCAGTTCCCCCGCAGGGACACAAGGCGGTGCGGTTACTCCACACCTGCGAAGGCAAAGCCCAGCACTGCCCCAGGACGGTCCCAGCAGCTAGGGGCAGCAGAGAGGGCTCTGGAAGGGCATTTTAGGGTGGCCACGGTGGGTGGATTCGTTGGGCAGAAAACGAGATGAGGGGCTGATCACGGCGCTCTGCCCGCTTTCCAGGGAGCAGCAGGGGAGAGTGGTCCCATGGGGGAGAGAGGTCACCCAGGGCCCCCGGGACCTCCCGGAGAGCAGGGCCTGCCTGGCCCGGCTGGAAAAGAAGGCACAAAGGTCAGTGCAGGACCGCAGGGTGGAACTCGGGTCTAGGGTGAGGGTGCTGAGAGGAACAGGTAACGGGGTTTGCAGGAACCCAGGTTCCTTTGCCCCGGTCAGAAGCACGTGGCTCATCACCTCTCCTTTCCTTTTAGGGTGACCCTGGTCCCCCCGGGGCTCCGGGGAAAGATGGCCCTGCTGGTCTGAGGGGCTTCCCAGGGGAGAGAGGCCTCCCGGGCACTGCTGTGAGTGTGGCCCAAAGCCAAGCCCTGTCACAAGTCGGCCCGCATCCTGCCCCCTGCCAGCCCCTGAGCCTGACCCCCTCACGACCCCATCCTCCAGCCGTGTCCTCGCGCCCGTGCCCGTGACGTCCCGCCTTCCTGTCCCCGCGTCCTGTCTCACCTGTTGCCCCCATCTGTGCTCCGCAGGGTGGGGCTGGTTTGAAGGGGAATGAAGGTCCAGCTGGCCCTCCCGGCCCCGCAGTGAGTCCGAGGTCCGGGGATGGGGCGGGGGCGAGGGGAGGGGGGACCAGTACCTGGCAGGAGCCCGGCTCATCCAGGGTGCCCCTCACGTCCGTCAGTGCTTCTGCTGCTCAGAGGGCCTTTGGTTTGAGTGGGCTGGGTCTGCTTCCGGGGTGGCCTGACTCAGCCTCCTCATTTAGGGCTCCCCCGGGGAGCGAGGTGGAGCAGGATCAGGGGGGCCCATCGGTCCCCCAGGGCGCCCAGGCCCCCAGGGTCCCCCAGGAGCAGCGGGTGAGAAAGGCGTCCCGGTGAGTGTGCCGGGCTGTGGCGCGGTCTGTGCTGAGGGCCCAAGGCGGTGGAGCCGCCTGCAGGGGCGGGCGAGGGTGAGCGCCAGCCCAGGCCCTGACTCCTCACCTCCCTTCCCTCAGGGGGAGAAGGGCCCTGTTGGTCCCACCGGCCGCGATGGGGTGCAGGGTCCTGTGGGACTTCCTGGCCCTGCTGGACCCCCTGGTGTGGCGGGAGACGATGGTGACAAGGTGAGGGGACCCCAGAGCTGGCCGACCCCTCTGCCGATGGAATGGGCGACGTGGGGTGACTTCCTGGTCCCCGGCCAGGTGCTCGCTGCTCCACCGTCTCCTCCCCTGACATCTCTGCCTTCTCCGCCCAGGGTGAGGTGGGAGACCCCGGACAGAAGGGCTCCAAGGGGAACAAGGGTGAACACGTAAGTGTCCGTGAGCTGGCCTGTGGGGGTGTGGGTGTGGGTGTGGGTGTGGGTGTGGGGGTGTGGGTGCACGCACACCCGGGAGGCCTCACCCAGGGCCATCGAGTGCTCTCCACTGAGCCTCTTCCCGCCCCACAGCCTTTGACCTCCTTCCCTCCTGTTTCCTCTTCCTGTATTGGAGCCTCTGACCCTTCTTTCTTCCCCAGGGCCCTCCTGGCCCTCCTGGCCCCATCGGTCCTGTGGGGCAGCCCGGAGCCGCGGTGAGTACCCCTCTGTCCCCTCTCGATCCCCAGCGGTCTCTCATCTGCCCTTGGGGTTGAGCCTGGGAGCGGGAGCTCTGGGCCTGACACCCACTCTGTGTGGGTTTGCGGATAAAGAACACCTGACCTGTGTCCTTGTCCCTGTCCCTCGTCAGGGAGCTGATGGGGAGCCTGGAGCTAGGGGGCCCCAGGGACACTTTGGAGCCAAAGGTGATGAAGGGACAAGAGGATTCAACGGACCCCCAGGACCCATTGGCCTACAGGTGAGCGGGGATGGGACAGGGGCCGAGGGGTGGGTGTGCAGCCCGTGGGTGGGGACTCGGGCGGGGCCAGGGGCCTGGGGAGGCAGGTGGGACCCTGGGGGGGGGGTCTGTGGGCACCTGTCTGCCCAGGCCCATGCGTTGGTGGCTTGGTCACCCGGTCTGTGCTTTGGACTCCTCTGCAGGGCTTGCCAGGCCCCTCTGGGGAGAAAGGAGAAACAGGAGATGTGGGGCCTATGGTGAGTCCGACCCCTACCGACCCCAGCGCTTCCTGCTGCTCACCCCGTCCCCCCAGCCCCACTGAGGCCCCCCTGAGCACCCCGGGCCTGGCCTGCTGCCCCTCACCTGCCCCCATCCACGCTTGAGCTGGGAGCTCCTCTCACGCTTCCCCTTCCTGTCTCTGATGTGTCTGTTCCCTCCTAGGGACCCCCCGGCCCCCCAGGACCTCGAGGCCCAGCTGGACCCAACGGTGCTGATGTGAGTCCCTGCAGCCTCTGCCCCTGGCCCGGCTGCCTCGTTCCTCTGACTTGGGTCTCACCCGGGCTTCTGCCTCTGCTAGGCCGTGACTTTTCCTTCTGTTCCCTTTTCAGGGACCCCAAGGCCCCCCCGGAGGTGTTGGCAACCTCGGTCCCCCTGGAGAGAAGGTGGCTGGGAAGGGGCTGATGGGTCAGCCTTGGGGGTGGGGTTGGATTTCTTCCTGTGTCATTTGGGGGTACAGAAGAGAAAGATGTGGGGAGCGTAGTGACTGAAAGAGGCGACGGTTTGACCCCAATCACTGTTTTTTCAGGGGGAGCCAGGAGAAGCAGGATCCCCAGGGGTCCAGGGTGAGCCAGGCGTCAAGGTGAGTGAAGGTCCAGGGCCTGGCTCCCTAACCTGTCCCCCTCTGTGACCCCTCTGAGCTGGGCTGCGTCTCCAGCCCGAGCCCCGGCCTGAGTGAGCCTGCTGTCCGGTCCTCGCCGGGCAGAGGGCCCCTCTCCCGTCCCTGGCTGCCCTGCTGCCCCCTGACTCTCGCTGGGTGTCACGTTGTCCCCGAGGGCCGCACCGCTGAACTCCCAGACCCCCTTGAGACCCCTGTACCCTCCACTTGTTCTCCAGGGTCTTCGAGGGGAGCGTGGGGAGAAAGGAGAGACAGGGCAGGCGGGAGAGGCTGGGCCACCCGGCCCCAAAGGGCCCGCAGGCGGCGATGGCCCCAAGGGCAGCCCTGTGAGTCGGGGCTGGGGGGGAAGGGGCCTGTGAATGGAGGCCCTGGGCGTTCTGGTGCGCGTGCGTGCGTGCGTGCGTGTGTGCGTGTGTGCGTGTGCGTGTGTAGACCTCGGAGGGCGGGTGCCCAAGCGTGGGGGGTGCCTGGGAGGGAATGGGGCCACCCGGGAGGGGTCGCGGGGTCTAAGATGCGGAGAGAGCGAGGCCTGCCCGCCCTCTGGTCAGCACCCGGAGCCTGAGGAGGCCGGCAGGGCCGGGGTGGCTGGGAGGACTCGGGGGCCTCTCCTGAGGGTGCAGCCCGCCGGGCATCTGTGCTGCCCTGGTGGCTTCGTCTGTGGTGGCCCTGACCCTTGTTTTCGCTCTGGCCTAGGGTCCCGTGGGTTTCCCTGGCGACCCCGGCCCCCCTGGAGAAGTCGGCCCTCGGGTGAGTCTGGCCAGGAGCAAAGTGGCCGGGGCTTCCTTGGAGGGGCTGGGCCAGGAGGACGGCAGCTTCGGGGTGACTGGAGCCGCGTTGGGAGCCGCCCTGACCTGGCTTCCTCCCCGCAGGGCCAGGATGGTGCCAAGGGTGACCGAGGAGAGGACGGCGAGCCAGGCCAGCCCGTGAGTGCCCGCGGCCTCCTTCCCCTCCCTGTGCTCCTGAGCAGGGCTTCCTGGCCGGAGGCCACTCATCCGCCCCGTTGCTCCCTCCCTAGGGCTCCCCTGGTCCCACTGGGGAGAATGGGCCACCTGGACCCCTTGGGAAGCGAGTGAGTGAGCCGACGCCTCGGGGGGCAGCTGCGGGCCGGACAGTGGCGGGTGCTGGGTTGGCCCTGGCTGGGGCACACGTTCTCGTCCTCTGAACCTCGCGTCTGCTCCCGGGCTTTGGTCTCCGTGTTCTTGCGGGGGGGAGGTGGCACCTATGGCCAATCAGAGTGGACACTGGAGGAGGGGCTGGCTTTTCTAGGGGTCCCTGTGGGGCCAGGGCTTCGGCTCCAAGTCGCTGGGACAGGAACTGGGATGTGGGCGCGAGGCTGTCCAGCAACTGTGCAGAGCTGCTTGCTCAGTATTAGCTCTCTCTGACTGGTGCAGCGGTGCCTGTGCTTACCTGTCACCTGGCCCTGTGCGTGTGTGCCTGTGTACGTCCACGCGTGAGTGTGCCCATGCGTGTGTGCACAAGAGTGTGCAGGAGGACAGGCGCCAGCGGGAGCTCAGCCCAGCTGCCCAGGGCCTCATCCGCTTCCCGCCCCACGCAGGGTCCTGCCGGCACGCCTGGTCCGGAGGGGCGACAGGGAGAGAAGGGAGCCAAGGTGAGGGCGGCCCCAGGGCTGGATCATCCCCTCCCTCCACCTCTGCCCTCGCACTCCCGCCCCAGAGCCTGCCCGGCCACCTCTCCCACTTGGGCCCTTCGGGGGGGGGGGCTCTGCACTTGCTCCTGCTCCAGGCCTCCTGAGGTTTGGCCCCTCCTTCCCGTCTGTCTCTCCCTCTGCTCTTTTGGACACACTTCTTGTGTTTCAGGGGGATCCTGGTGCAGTGGGTGCCCCGGGGAAGACAGGCCCTGTGGGTCCTGCTGGTCCGGCAGGAAAACCCGGCCCTGATGGGCTACGAGGGCTCCCGGGCTCGGTGGTGAGTCTCGGGTGCAGGGCAGGGTGAAGGCCCATGGGAGGGGCAGGGTGGGGTGCTCCTCCTGACCGGGGCTCTCCCCAATCGGCAGGGTCAGCAGGGCCGTCCTGGAGCCACAGGCCAGGCTGGGCCCCCGGGTCCTGTGGTGAGTGACTGGGCTGGGCCGCAGCCCGGGGCAGTGGGCAGAAGTGGGCGGCCACGGGGAGAGCTTGCTCCCAGCACTCTGGAGAGTGACTTCCTGTCTCCCACAGGGACCCCCAGGGCTTCCTGGCCTCCGGGGTGATGCTGGAGCCAAGGGGGAGAAGGTGAGTGACAGAGACCTGTGGCCGGGTCTCTCCCGACACCCTCGCGCCTGAACCCTATGGGGCCGGCCAGCGTCCAGTCCTTGGGGTCCTGACTCGGGGACAGTTCACAGCTGCTGCTCACTCCCCGACCCTGTGCCCTGCTCCTCTGTCTTCTCGGCCATCGTTTTTGGTGTTGGGATAAAGCTTGTGGGCTCACACACACTAAGCCTGCGCTCTGCCACCCAGCTAGAGCCCGGCCCATTGACCATTCTCCCCACCCATGGGACTCCTCTCGGTGACCACTGTGCCTTCTCCAGGGCCACCCAGGTCTCATTGGACTGATTGGCCCCCCTGGAGAGCAAGGGGAGAAGGGTGACCGGGGACTGCCCGGCCCTCAGGGCTCCCCTGGACAGAAGGGAGAGACGGTGGGTAGAGGGAATGCCCCTGGGTCTGGGGGAGGGCGGGAATTGGGGTGGGCTCGGGACTCGGGGGCCAGGTGGGGAATGGAGCTGACCCAGGCCCTCCACACCCCAGGGTGTCACAGGAGCGTCCGGCCCCGTCGGTCCCGGAGGGCCTCCCGGCCTCCCCGTGAGTGCCCTGCTGTTCCTCTTCTAACCGCCAAGCCCCACTGTCCCTGAACCCCGCTGTGACTTCTGTTCAGCTGCCAGCCTCGCAGCAGCCCTGGTGTCCCCGGCGCTTCCCTCCCTGTGTCCGGGTCTCCCAATGTCCCCATCGACCTCGTGCCCCTCCTGCACGGGTCCTGTGCACAGTGACCTTGCCTCTCCATGCCTCGGTGTCCTGTCCTTCCCCTGACCATTCCCTTTGTTCCTCATTTCGCAGGGACCTGCTGGCCCCAAAGGAGCCAAAGGAGCCACAGTGAGTGACCCCGTCAGCCCTGACCTTTGCTCCCCCAGCCAGGGGACCCACTTGACCCTTCTTGACCTGGACCCCTCCTGACCTCATAACTCCTTTGTCAGGGCCCAGCCGGACCCAAGGGAGAGAAGGGCGCGCAGGGCCCCCCAGGACACCCGGTGAGTTGTGAGGCGGACCCTGCTTCTCTGGCTCCGTGCGGCCGCCGCCGCTGTCCCTGCATGGCGCTCTCCCCTCCGCCTCCCCACGCAGGGCCCTCCGGGCGAGGTGATCCAGCCACTGCCCATCCAGATGCCCAAGAAGGTGCGCCGCTCAGTGGACGGCAGCCGCCTGATGCAGGAGGACGAGGCCCTGCCGAGCGGGGGCGCCCCGGGCAGTCCCGGGGGGCTGGAGGAGATCTTCGGCTCGCTGGACTCCCTGCGGGAGGAGATCGAGCAGATGAGGCGGCCGACAGGGACCCAGGCCAGCCCGGCGCGCACCTGCCAGGACCTGAAGCTGTGTCGCCCGGAGCTGCCTGATGGTGAGAGCAGCCTCAGGGTGGGCGCTGGGTGAGCAGAGCGAGTGCTGAGGGCTCCCGGGAGCTTGGGCTGGGCTGAAGGCCGAGGGCTCCCCAGCTCGGAAGCCCTTCATCACGCGCAGCTGACCTGGCCCTGCCAGCACCCGCCTGCTCTCCCAGCCGTGTCCACAGTAGATGGACACACACGTGTGTATGTGCGGCCACACTAGGCCACACACGCTGGGCGCCCGGTGTGGGGATGTCACACGCCTCCACTCGGGAGGCCTGGCGATGCTGCTGGGCAGGGTGCCAGCCTCCAGGGCCCAGTGATGAGGGAAGCGGAGGCAGGGTGGGCGGATGGTGGGCAGGGCTGGGGGCTTTGGCGTAGAGGGAGGGAGGGGCAGGTGGTGCCAAGCATCTGGGAGCACAGAGCTCGCTGGCCTTGACCCCTGACCCTTCCCAACAGGAGAGTACTGGGTGGACCCCAATCAGGGCTGTCCCCGGGATGCCTTCCGGGTCTTCTGCAACTTTACCGCGGGCGGGGAGACGTGTGTGACACCCAGGGATGATGTCACCCAGGTGAGAGGTGGCCCTGACTGCCCCTGCCCTGCCCTAGCACGTTCCCCTCAGGGCCTGGGCCGTCTGGGTCTAAGTGACAAGGTCCCTGGCCGTTGCCCCTCACTCCCTCCTCCTCACCTGCCCTGGGAGGCTCACTGTCTCCTTCCCTTGAGGGCTCAGGACACACACTTGCCACCTGGCTCCCACCCGTGCTGTGCTCATGAGCTGGCTCAGCAGCCCCGGCTCTGTAGCTGCACCCCGAGCATCTGTGAGCCTCAGCACTCGTCCCTTTCCAGTTCTCCTACGTGGACTCAGAGGGCTCCCCGGTAGGTGTGGTCCAGCTCACCTTCCTGCGCCTGCTCAGTGTCTCGGCCCACCAGGACGTCTCCTACCCCTGCTCTAAAGCGCCCCTCGACAGCCCCCTGAGACTCCGGGGGGCCAATGAGGATGAGCTGAGCCCCGGGACCAGCCCCTATGTCAAGGAATTCAGAGACGGCTGTCAGGTGGGAGCCGGGAGAGCCAGGGAGGGGGACCCCAGCCTCGGGCTGCAGGAAGGAGGTGGGGAGGCGCCTGGAACTGCAGGGAGGAACCAGCCTCCAGAGGGAGGTCTCCCGAGAGGCAGCAGGTGGGAGGGGGGGACAGGCTTCTGGAGCTGGAGCTGGATGGGCTGGCCTGGGTGTGCAGGGTCACACAGGGTGAGCTGTGCAGACCCCAGCATGGCACTCACCTGCACTCTCAGGGGGGCGCACTGACACCCAGTCTGTGCATCCCGAGTCAGGGTAGTCAAGGTGCTCAGAGAAGTCAAGCCTGGCACTGGGTTTGGGGCTGCACTGGTGCTCATTCCTGCCTCCCCCGTCTCCCCTTGAAGACACAGCATGGCCGCAGGGTGCTGGAGGTCCGCACCCCGGTGCTGGAGCAGCTGCCGGTGCTGGATGCCTCCTTCTCAGACCTGGGGGCCCCCCCGAGGCGGGGAGGGGTGCTGCTGGGCCCAGTCTGCTTCATGGGCTAGGACCTTCTCTGTCTGACCTGTCCGTCACCGCAGGCCCACCCGGCGTCGCGCAGCTTCGGCTCCACACCACCTCCCGCCGGGGCTCCTCACCACCTGGGCCGTGGGCCAGTCGGGGCCATCAGGGGAGGATGCCTCTGGGTGCTGGGGACACCCCTGGGGAGGGGTGGCATGGGGGCTCCTGGCCCTCCCACTGGAGCCTGTGCCCCGTTAGAGAGCTGAGAGCCTTATTTGAAACTCGCCTGCCAATCACCCAAACAAGTGGAAGAGAAGAGAAAGGACACTGTGTATTTTGTATTTAAAAGTAATTATATTAATTATTTAAAGAGTGGAAAACAATATAACAGAAAGGATAAAGAGAGACACGCCAACAGAAGTCGGCACATGCTGGAATCATGCTCTCCGAGGGTGGGCCTGCACCCGTCTCTGCCTCAGGGCCTTCCTCTGACTGTGGGTGTCCGGATGAACCCCACCTCCCTCACCCCCAGTAGCACCCACTGTGAACCCTGGGACAGACGTCTCCTCAGGGCTCTGACTCCCCAGCTTGGGGCTCCCTCATCCCAGCCTGCCAGGGCTTGGCTCCCCGACCCGGTACCTGCTGTCCTGGCACTGCCTGGGTCTGGCAGGACCTGGCTGCTCCTGGACCCAGCCGCGCCCTCCGAGAAGGCCTGGAGTAGGAGGCGCCTGTACTCAGCGGGTTCTTGAAATGCTGAGGTTCTTCCGTACGGGCTGGGGCATCGCGGGCCTGAGCTCCTTGGGGGTCTCATTGTCATCCTGGTCACCCCAGGCCCTCCTCTGGACCCCGTCCTTCCCTGGTCCTACAATTAAAGGGTGACGTGTGCCTGAAGGGTGGAAGGGGACACCAGGAGCCTGCCTGGCCCCACGCCCAGTGTCCCGCGGACTGATGGCTGAACAATGTGATTGTTTGCTCCGGTGTGCGCCTCGGTACTCGTGTTGTCATTTCAGTGTCTCCAGACCCACCCAGCTCCCCTTCTCAGCTGAGCTGTTGCTGGGAATGGACGGCTCAGGCCTAACCCTGAACAGCCCAGAGCGCATACACCTGGGTAGAGGCGGAATCACAAACCCATGCCCGGTGACTTCACGCGCGGGCTGAGTCCCGCTGGCCAGGGTCCTGACACCGGTGCAGAAGGGGGGCTGGGTGTGCGCATCCCGATTCCGCCCCCATACGACGCCCAAGGAGCTTGGGCCAGAAGGAACTTTAGGGGGTCCGGCCTAGACTTGCCGCTGTGAAGCCCACCTCCGCAGGACCTTTGCTGCACCTCTGCCCACCGTGCCCCTTCCCTCGCGCTCATGTCCCTTCATGAAAAGCCCGGCTGCCCACTCGTGTTCATTCGGGTCCGCATTCTTCGAATATTCACAGCCCTCGCCCATCTCCTCCGGGTCAGGTCCCCGTCCTGTCCGGTCCGGGCGGCCTCCCCGCGCCTCCCGAGTTCCCGCAGCGAGGCCCGGCTCCCCCAGGCCCGGGAGTTGGCCGCTAACGCTGCTCCAGGGCCGGGTCCCGCAGGCCGCCCCTTCCCCCGGGACTCCCGACCGCAGCGCGGACGTGCCGTCCCGAGGTCTAAAGCGGGCGCTCGGGCCTGTTCCTGCTGATCCCCGGGAGCCAACCCGACTCCGGCCGGGGTGCAGGAGACCCCGGCGCAGGGACCTCAGCTGCGCGCGGCGCCTCTTCCTGCCTCTGCCGCCCCCTGCTGCCGCCCGGCGCCGGGACCTGGGTCCGCCACGGGGCAGGCGGGGCAACCCGGCCCCTCGGGCCCCCGAACCCCTCCCGCCGTCCTCTCCCCCTCCAGCCCTCGTTGCTACTCCCGCCCGCCCGGAAGGAGGCCGAGTGAGGAGGAAGCCCCTCCGCGGTCCGGATCCGGCGGGGGGCGCGGCTCCCGGGGTCGCTCAGGCCCCGCCTCGGTCCAGCTCCTCCCCTGCCCCGGCCTCGCGCCCGCTCCCAGCCCCGGAGCTGCGGTTTCGCTGTCTCCCCAGTCGGTGCCAAACCACAGAGGTCGCCCCAGAGCGCAGAGGTCACTTGGTCGGACGCGCTGGGCTCAGAAGGCTTTTCTCCACGGAAACATTGATTGCATTAGTCACATAACATTTACAGCCGGCGGTTGGGTCCCCAGGCCAATCCACAAGAGCCCGGTCAGCTACTGGGCCAGCCGACCCCGCGGAGCAGCTTATGGAGGATTCTGTGCCAGGCTGCAGCGGCACCAGGACCACAGCCCGCTCCTTGCAGCTGACGTCTCCCTCCCCTCCCTCTGGAAAGCTGGGATCCGACTCCCAGGAGGAGTTGGGAGGGAGCTTCCGGAGGTGGGAGTCTCGGGTGAGGCTGGCGTGGGTAGCGCTGGTGCCCTGCCCTGGGGCATTGGCAGAGGCTTGTGGGTCACGGAGGCTTCTAACTGGGCCCCTAGCTCAAGCAGAGAGGCAGCAAAAAGGAAAGAAATGGGGGAGTTTTTAAAAAAGAGAGAGAGAAAGGCAGATGGAGGAGACCAACCCGCTTGGAGGAGACCAGAGGGGACAAGCGGGGATTAAAGACACAGAGACAGAAATAACTTAGAGTGAGGGGACCAGGGGGCTCTTGCCTCTAGTGGACAAAGAGCCCTGAGCTTTTGGCTCACCTCACTTTTATTCGGTTAGACACGCGAGCAAGCATTAGGTTAGTGGGAGAGTCATCTGCCTCCTGTTACCTACAGCAGGCACCCAGGTAAACATCCAGCTCTCAGCTGTGTCCCGCCCCGGAACTTGCACCCTGCCAGCATGCCTGCACATTGCAGGGGGAGGAACAGCCTGCTGTTTCTCTCCCTGTGCTCGCAGAGGTCAGTTAGGCCTCGGGGCCGCATCATCTGCTCTCCCAGGCAGAGGCGTTGGGGAACTCCTTTGGGTTGGGGCAGAACAAGCTCTTGTTGGACGCGGTGGGGTCTGAAACGTCTTGACTGCTTCTCAGGGGAGTTTAACTTGAACCCCAAACGTAGAAGGAAGTCATTGGGGTGCCTGAGAAGGCGATCGAAACGACAGAACTGTGCTGCAATGCCTGATCCGATTGGACTCAGTTGGACGGGACAGGACGCGTCCCACAGCCAGCAGATGGTCTTCGTGGCTGAGAGGAGGGGAGGGCAGCGAGATCCCACAGGGGATGTTCCCGGGCCTCCTAACCGCGCAGCGCTGCCGAGCTCTGGCTTGCTATTTTTGGCACCCCTGAGTTGCAGTAAAAAAAAGAAAAGAAAAAAGAAATGACGTGTACGTCTAGACGCCTTAGCTTAAGTCACTGTCCCTACCCCTGGGAATGCTGCACACCCAGGAGGCCACGGGCAGCCCCCTCCCTTGGCCGCGTGGCTTGCTGGGATTTGCAGTTTGGGATGGGCGGAGCGGGTGGGGGTGGGGCGGAGAGAAGGCAGGCCCAGCCAGGCTCCTGCAGCCTCAGAGAGAAGTTGCCGCGGCGGAAGGGCTGGGGCCCCTGTTCCTCAAGTTTGGTGCAGTCGGCAAGGACTGTCAGAGCCACACGCGGGCTTCTTCCTAGGTTCAGAGAGTCCCGAGCCTGTTGGAAAGAGCAGAAGTCACCCCTGGCTTTCTGTAATCTTCGTTCTCATCTTTAGAGCAGTTTCCTGGGAACGGCCACTCCTAAAATGAGCAGGGGAGACCTGTCCCACTCGTTCCTGAATGACGGACAGGGACATCAGTAGGGTCACAGCCTTCAGGGCCACCCCAGGCGGCCATGTGATGTGCAGTTTTCAGCCACAGTGAGAGCCAGGGTGACTCCTGCCTCCCCTGGGTGGCGGGAACCTGTCAGGTTACTGTGTTTTCTTTCCGCTGTCCTCTCTTCCTATTAGTGGAATCTTACCTCCAGGCTGAAGTCCTTTTCGCTCCTGAGACATAGGCAGATGGATAAAGGCATGGTGGGCACCCTGGCAAGTCTTATAAAGCTCATGTTCCGGTCTCCCACTTCCTCTGTACAGGGCCCTGACTGCATGTGCGGGAGAGATTTCTTACAACTTTGTCACCTTTCGGTTGTGGCTATTTTTATTAATACCTGTAGGTTTTCTTTACTTTTCAGAACTGCAAATGTATGGAAGCAAATGAAACCCCCAAACTAATAAACACTTTCTAGATATATAAGGCTTACAGAGATGGGAGATTATATTTATTGGAATCCTGGGGACAGAGGGAGTCCGATTAAAAAAAAAGCACAAAAAACTGTGAGTGGCAGATGATCTAGGTTTGGTAGCACTGTGCAGGCTCAGTGCCAAGGATGGTATTGACATTAGCTGTCAGGAGGCCCCTCTACAGTTCTTTTTTTTTCTTTCTGTTTTTTTTGAGTCAGGGTCTCACTGTGTAGTATAGGATGGCCTTGAACTCGAAGTGATCCTCCTGTCTCAGCCTCCCAAGCCTTGGGATTACAGGTGTGTGTCACCACACCTGGCCACTCCATAGTTCTAACAAGGGCTTCTTCTTCATTCAGTTTCCCAGGGTTATCTTTCTTCTTACTGGGTGGCACAGTAGCACTGGTTTCCTCATCTGCAAAGTGGGAGGACACTTGCTCCATAAGTGGACGATTCCTCCTTCAGTGTCATCATTTGCTGGGGACTGGAGGGGAGGGAGCTGACCACGCCCCCTCAGTCCTGTGTTCACACTTGGTTTTTCTGTCACACTGGCTTCTGGGCCATGTCAGGCCCCTTTACATTTCTGACCTGAGTGCTGTCAACACTCCATACTTCTTAATTTTTTTGGTTTTCTAATAGCAAGGTCTGATTCATAACAAAGTTCTAAAAAATTTTATTGTAAGGATATTGTGGTTTCTCAGAATTCAAAGGAAGAGATGACTCACTGGGGAAAGGGGAAAGCCCTTCTGGGGAAGCCAGGGGTTCATGTGTTTGGTTCCTGGAGTTCAGCTGTGAACCCCGCTTGGCAGAGATGCTCTGGACCTCCGGGTCTCTGGATTCCCGGTTCAGGCTCCTGGAGCGCAGTCTGGTTGGCCTGTCCTGGTCATCGAGCCATCCATGGCCCTCCTGGCCCCATACCTGGGATCGAACTCAGGACCTTGAGTTTACAAGGCAGACTGAGCTAAATCTCCAGCAAGACCCAGTTTTCTATGGCTGGGGGACACGGTAACAATATGGCGCCACCTAGCTGTAGAAAGGTCATCACCACTGTGCTGTTTGTAGCAGCTCCAGATGCTTTGGAAGTACTGTCTTGGACCCGGCAGAATCATGGGAAACTCCTGGCTTAGTCCTGAGAATAGATGTATGCAGGTTATTTCTGAAGTCCTGAGAGATGGCCCTGAACTCAGTGAGAGCCTTACTGACACATACCGTGATGTCTCCTGCTCCTTCTCTGTCTCGTTAGTTTAGATCAGGGGCTCCCTGACCGGATGGATGGAGAGAGTCCTGAGGCTTCTCACTAAGAACGCATGGCAGTGAGTGGTGGGAAAGGGCGCCTCGGGTGACCTGGTTACCAAGAAGGGAAGCAGCTTGTGCGGAGCTGCTGGAGGGAGCCTGAAGGGAGCCGGCGCATCACGTCACTGCATCTAGAGCCTGGTGAAGCACACGTTCAAGCTCCTTTTTATATTTTAAAGTCTACTCTTAAGATGGTTTTTTTTTTTTGTTTCTTTTTGTTTTTTGAGACAGGTCTCACTATGTAGCCCAGGCTGGCCTTGAACTTGCAGCAATCTTCCTGCCTCGGCCTCCTGAGTGCTGGGATCACCACCAGGCCCAGCATTTGATCTGTTTGATTGGCATTAGACTTAGCCATGTAAGGGGAAAAAGAAAACTGAAAACAGTAGAGACTTGACAGAGGTAGAAGTTTATTTTTCCCCTCCCATAGACAGCACTGGTCTGGGGTCTAAGTGTCATGGGTTTGGGCTCAAGGGCTCTCTCTGTCTTTGTCTCTGTCTCTGTACTG